ACAACTTATATAAATTGGAGAAAATCAAGGAATTTAAAGTAAAAACTAAAAGAAAAACTAATTAATATTATTTAAATCAAATATTAAAAAAAAAAATGTTTCATTTATATTTTTTGCTTAGACCACAAGTTCTCCACCTGAAAAAAAAAAAAAAAAAAAAAAAAAAGTTCTCAACCCGTATCGAGATGATCCTTTCTACCTTGATGATAAAGTTATGATAACTACCAACCAGTTACTAAGGGTTTAAATTCAAATGTTTAAGCAAAATTTTGGATTAGAGAAATGCTTCACATGAAAAGAGGAATCTAGCTAGCTAGGCATGTCCTTGTTTGCAATTTTGTATCTCCACTCCCTGTTTATATATGTTGGGAGTTAGAAGATATGTGTGTGTGTGTGTAACTTTGTATGTGCAAAAGGCATTACATTTTGTGCAACTCATTCTGACACACAAAAATGCAACAAATGTTTTTAAGTGACATAATTCACATTAATAGTAACATCAAGAGAAGAGGAAGAGCAAAGTTAGCGCATAAAAAAATAAAAAATAAAAAAAAAAGATATGTTAGCATGCTCATTGATTGAAGCCATGTCCTTGAAATAGAATTAGAAAAAGACAAAAAGTTTGAGAAAAATTCCAGAACAGTTGCGCCACAATTGTGGTCACCTCCACTACACTATCTCCTTTATGCAACGGAGGACCACATGGTGGCGCGCACCTAGTTACATGCACAAATTTGTACAGATATAGCACAACTTGATCATGCAGCAGTGTATATATATATATATATGATTCATATATTTTGATGTAAGAAGTACCAAGATGTTATTTTACTCAATGAGTTGCCATAAAATAACACTGTTATAATAAAATTTAGATAATGATTTTTAAATTTAATAGTCTAACCAAAAATGTTAGTCTAATGATTTTTATTACTTAAATGTATTTTTTTTTTTTTTTGATACTTAAATGTATTGAATAAGGTCAAAACAACGTTAGTGATTATTCTAAATAAAACAAACTCTTTTCTAGAACAGCTTTATTTCAAAATAATAATAATAATAATAAATAATAATTAAATACCCTATCAATGATCAAACATTCTCCCCATCCTCCTATATGTTATCTCTCTCTCTCTCTCTCTCTCTCTCTCACACACACACACACTCACACACACACACACCCAGACTTCAAAGCTAATTGTGAGACAAGAAGTGCATTTTGCTTTTATTGGGAAGTCCATGGCCCCTCCTAATTTTTGGGAATTTTTTTTAGTATAGGTAAAAAATATATATATATAGTGTATATGATATAAAATCTATATTTGGCCCCCCTAAGAAAATAAATAAATAAATAAATAAATTTTTCCTTTAATTAGCATTTAACAAAAGATAGTTTATATATAATCTAAAAGAAAGTGATTTAATTGACGATTATAGAACCCAATAAAAATTCAACTTGGCTATCTTAAAATTTTAACTCAAACACCATTCTTTTAATGTGACTATCTTAAAATCCTTCCAATTCAAGCATGATTCTTCCATAATCTTATTATCTTAAAATTCCATCTCATACATTATTCTTTCCATCACTTTTTTTTCTTTTTATTAGAATGTTTTTATAAGAATTCTATAATAAATTAATTTTTACAAAATCTAGAACAAAAAATTCATTTGAAGTTTTGAATATCAACAATCTAAATTCTTATTTTATTAATTTGTTTGTTTTTTTTTATCATTGTTATTGTTTTGTTAAATTTTCAATTTTTTACTTTTTTTTTTAAAAAAAAATTATTTTTGTTTTTTTTTTCTTTTTAGTAAATAAAGAGAGTTATGTAATTGAATTTTTTTTTTATAATTTTGGCATAAATCTTATTTGTGTTTGTTCATAAAGTTTGATAAAAAATTTCTTTAAATAACTAATTTTTTATTTATTTAAATGAATTAGGAAAAGTTTAGATAGATATATTTTTGTATGAATGTAATTTTAGCCAAGTAATGTTATTTATAAATTTACCCCCCCTGGCGATTCTGGATAGGGTTTCTAAATATTGAGTTCTGTTCATGTTAAAATATACTGTGGACTATGTGGGAGTCACTTCTCTGTGTCTCGGTTGTCTTCGAACTAAGGATATATAGGACAAGAAATGGTGGCAAAGAGGAGAGATTGTTGCTTACGTGAAAAGGTACGGTGGAGTTTTAGGATAGGTGGCAGACAAATGAACAACACAAGTTGACCCGATAAATTGACACGTCGGCTATTGGAAGCTGACGTGTCGGCACTGAAGCCCTCTCTTTATATAAAAACATTTGAAGTAGATCGAGTGGGAAGAGGTCATCGATCTTATGAAGTGTCTTTCTCCAACAGAAATCACGTTGGCATGTGAAATTATATGTATGGTATATATCCTTATCTATACGTATCGATTGTGTGTGGACTACACAGTTTTCCGCTTTTCGCGGGGTTTCGGATAGAAAAGAGATGTCCAGACTTACTTTAAAGTGATTTGTGTTGTCATTTTGACACACAAATTAATCCACATGTACATGCACACTTATATATATCTATATATATATATATATATAGGCAATGATTTACGGACTGAAATTTCGAGTGAGAGAGGAAGAACGATAGGGCATGAATCCCCACTACCTACCTACTTGAACCTTCACATCCGATTTTAAGGGGAGATCTGATAGGATTTTATTCAAAATTTTCTTTTGCTAGACTAATAGCTAAAACACGTCTATATAAAAATGAGTAATGATTTGCCGACCGAAATCGGAAGGATAGGAGAGAGAGAGAGAGAGAGAGAGAGACAGAGGGGGAAGGGGGGCATGAACCTCAATACAGACTTGAACCAGATAGGTTGCTTTTTTAGCTAGGCTCATAGCTAAAAAAAAAATCACTTTCTTAGGATTACTAGGTCATACAACATTTCACATTTTTCACTCTTGACTTCGATACATTTTTAATTCGGAATATGGTAAAGTAGCATCTTGGATGTGGAACAACTCTGATGGGTGTACATATTTTTGGAGATTTATAATTCTTCCATTTTATTGGATGCAATTTTAATGAATTAGATCCAGAAAAACACTCGCTTTTTTCAACACGAACGAGGGAGAAAGGACATGAAGTCCCACTACCTACTTGAGTCCAGTGAAATGGAACTTTCACATTCGAGGGAGAAATCCGATAGGATCCTATTTCGAATTTTCTTTTTTGGTAGGCTCATAGGTTAAATGGGGAACAACTCATTTGATGGGTCGTGAGTGTTATAGTGGCTCTACTTTCTATCTATTCTCTCTGCTCTAAAAAAAAATATCTTTTTTGAGAAACTATTTGAGTCATAATTTTTCAAAAGATATATTTTTTTGAAACAGATGGAGTATTATTTTGAAGATTTATAATGCTTTCAATTTATTGGGTGGAATTTCAATGAATTACATCTATCATAACTCTAAAGTGAGACCCATGCCCTCGGGTTGTTCAGTCAAGTGTTTTCTCATACAAACTAAATACACAAGTGTTTTGTATATTAGGGTGTATTTGAAAACTATTTTTGTTGTCAAATTGTTAAAGCCGGAACAAGTGTCAAAACACATGTTTGGTCACATTTTATTTTTTGGCCGTTTTAAAATAATTGTACCATTTAAAAAGTTAAAAAAAGATAAATTAATCGTTTCATATATATCTATAAAAAAAATACTGAGTATAAATTAATAACATATACTTATTCAAACTTGAAAGGATAATTTAGTCATTTTAAAAGGAGACAATAATTGCATGTCCCTTGGAAAGTCTCACTCCCCAAACATGACTATATATATATATATATATTTAAAAGGCCCAAAAAAATAATTATTGTTTTTTAACTGTAAGTAGATTTTTTTTAAAAAAAAAAAAATACATTGAAATTGTAAAAACCATTTTATTTACGATCATCCAAATATATATATATTTTTTTTCAAATTTTTTCTTTAAAATATTATACAACTTACCAAACATATTTCTATTTTGAGAATAAATCAGAACATACATAACAAAAATATTGCTTCCACTTCATATAACATTGAAAACACAAAGCAAAAACGGATGACTCATAATATAATACAACACATGTTATATAATATTTTAACAAAAGAAAAAAGCACTCACCAAATTCTAATGAATACTGATTGAAATTATGTAACAAAAAAAATAAAAATAAAAAAGAATCACACATTGAGATTATAGTTACTAGTAAAGCAAAACTAATACTCCCTAATAGAATAACCATTTAGCTTATGGATTGGGGATAATAACTAAGCACAATAATGAATGCAATATTTGATCCCTGTTCTACCCCAATCCATTTGAAGTAGGTTTAATCCATTCAAAATGTGAATAATTAAAGCGTCCTTGAGGTTTATGTATTTGTTTTTTTAAGTAAATATTCACACACATTCGTAAATATTTATATAGAATTTGAATTCCTAACCTCCTTTTAAAGATTCTCAAGCCAAGGTAACTTGTTTGGGCTGTGATCCGGTCCGATTGGGCTTACACTGTTGGGCTTATACTTGAAGTCCATGAGTATTTTTCTTTCACTGGATTATTCATTTTTCTTTAATTTTGTCACAAAGTTGAGAATCCACTAACAATGCTCATGGGTAAATGGTTGGTTAGGGTACAATGTCCCAGCTAGTGTCAAACTCGTTTCCCCAAAAAACAATTAATTACCAAATCTGTCACGCTTCGCAGGTTAATTCCCAATTAGAAATAAATTATTTGTAATTAATAAAATTGCACATGTATTTATGATTTGCAAATAATCTATTTTCTTCTAGTGCTACTCTTTATATGACAGCTGTTTTATTTGACAATTGTATCTTGTGTTATTAGTCCAAAGAGAAAATTAAGCTACTTCCAATACAGAACATAACCAATATGACTGTACACTGTGCTAAATATATATATATATATATATGACTGTACATTTATCATAGGCTTCACTGAATAACAAAACCAAGAATTTCATTTCATTCTCCTTTTATTCAATTATTTTCATATATACAAATCCATATATACAGAATCAAAAAAATGTGGTACCAAACAACCCAATTCGAAAAACAAAAATTCCACTCCTGACACACAGAATCAAGAAAGAAAAAAAGAAATAAAACACTCCAAACCAAACAAAATTAAATTACATTCAAATCAAAGAATGTTGGCTTAGCTTGACCGCCAAAAAGACCATAACAAACTGAAAACTTGGACTCTTTCAAAATTCCCAATCGTCGTCTCTGCAATCAACCCAAGCAATAATGGATCGAATTCCCCCCAATAAAACACAGACCCGATCATCCAATAAAACATTTTGATCGATCTCCGTGACATCGTATACGTAAATTCGTATAATAATATTATTCACAGAAGCAAATATGATCACGATCACGGAGATGCTAATTCGAAGCTATTGGCCCTGCAGTACCTGAGCTGCAACGAGATTTGTCTTTCGAGCAGAAGTTGGCGATGGAAGTTAGCTATGAACATATCAGCTCTCTTGTCAATATCATCTTCGGAGGGATAACTTATGGTCCTTTGAAGTCCGTGGGAAGAGCCCGATTCATTCGACTCCGTGTCCTCCGTGCAAGCCATCAAGCCTGGCCGGTCATTGAAGCTCAGGCGGCGCTTGCTCGATGAACCACCGATCGCTGAAGCAAGTTTCCACCGATCTAGATTGAAATTCATCAAGAATCTAATCTTCTTCACCACCCTCCTAAGTCGGCCGATCAATAACCAATTGTCTAAGCCCATGCTACAATAGAGAGTGAATAGCTATGACAATGAATGTTTTGCAACTTGAAAGTTCAATTTTGAAATTAATGGAGAAATGGTGTCTGATGGCAATTATATATATATATATATAGTAGGTAGAGAGAGAAAGTATAAATAAAATAATATATGGTATTTGGCACAAGGAAGTTGCTGTGAAGGCAGGTAAACGTAGCGAAAAGGAAAACCGTGTTCTGGTGACAGCAACACGTATGTTAAGTCTTACGGTAGAAGAGTAGCACTAGTCTACTAGATGGAAAGTCAAAAGTTGATCAATTCTTTAGCACTTGATGTAAAAACATGTTGCTACTAGGAAAATTATATTACTAGTTACTAATGGCAACATGGAAGACACAAAAAAGAAAAAAAAAAAAAAAAAAGAGTTTGGAAGGCAGTTCTAGGAGTTATTCAATGGCCTAACTAGCATTATTATTATTTTCAAGATAAAAATACTCATGTATTAATTTGTTTTTAAATAGACTAGGTTTCGACTTATCAATTAATCAGATTCAGATTGAATGAATGCATAATTTATATCAAATTTCTTTAGCTAACGAATTATTAAATTTGAATTACTAACCAATTATTGAATTGAATGTTTCAATTCATATGGATCATGATTATATTGGATTCGGATTAAAATCAAATTCTTTAATATCTTTAGTTATAAGATTAGGTGGAATGGAGAATTATTAATATAACTAGGAATGGCAAATGGGCGGGTTTGAGTGGGTTTTGGTTGGGTTGAAAATGAACGGGTCAAATATGGGGGTCAAGACCCATTTTCAACCCTTTCGAAACGTGTTAAAAATGGGCGGGTCAAAATTGTATAAGGTCAACCCGTTATGACCCGTGAACTCATTAATTATTATAATTTTTTATTTTCAATTATTTTTTTCCGAGAGGGTTTTAAAATTTTAATTATAACAAATTAAAAAAATAATTTCAAACTCAGCAATATTTATCGACTCGTTTTAGAGAGAGAGAAGTGAAGGAAAGAAAATAAATATTAATGTTTTAAAAATATTGATGTTTACAAATATGGAAAAAGAAAATGTAATTTGCATATTTGAAAATATATATATATATATTTGACCGGTGAAACCTGACCGACCCGCCCAAAATATTGATATTTAAAAAATAAAATTTTCTTAAAAATTTTAAATGTTTACAAACATGGAAAAAGAAAATATAATTTGTGTATTTGTAAAAAAAAAAAGTAAAAAAAATTTACCTGTGAAACTCGACCTACCTGTCCAAAATATTGATGTTTAAACGATAAAATATTCTTTAAAATTTTGATGTTTACAAACATTGAAAAGGAAAATGTAATTTAAAAAAAAAAAATTGATCAGTGAAACCCGCCCGACCCACCTAAAATATTGATGTTTAAAAAATAAAATTTTCTTAAAAATTTTGATATTTACAAATATGGAAAAGAAAAATGTAATTTGTATATTTGTAAAAAAAATAAAACTTTGACTCGTGAAACCCGCCCGACCCGCCCAAAATACTAATTTTCTTAAAAATTTTGATATTTACAAATATGGAAAAGAAAAATGTAATTTGCATATATATATATATATATATATTTGATATCTACAAATATGGAAAAGGAACATGTAATTTGTATATTTGTAAAAAAAATAAAAAATGACCCATGAAACCCGACTGATCTGCTTAAAATATTGATGTTTTAAAAATAATTTTTTCTTAAAAATTTTGATATTTACAAACACGGAAAAGGAAAATGTAATTTTGCATATTTGGGAAAAAAAAAAGACCCGTGAAACCCGTCCAACCCGCCCAAAATATTCGGGCTAGGTTATGAGCATAACCCATTTTGGGTAGAATTCAAGCTGGCTCAACACAACCTGATTTCAGGTTGAGGATAGGTTGGGACTTCGCTGGGTTGGGCCAGCCCAACTTGCAGCCTTAATCACAAGTGAGACAATTTTAGAGAGAGAAATGAATTGAGTGCAATATAGAATAAATGCGTATTATATGTTTATTATGTAAACCATATTCAACTCATTTTGACCGTCAAATTAAGTGGTTAAAAATTACCCAACCCATTTTTGACCCATCTTAAATACAATTCATCCAAAACCATTAAAAAAACGGACAAATATGGACGGGTTGATGGGTTGTAACCCATTTTGCCACCCCTACACATAATTATGCCACCAAATAAATCTAATGGTAGATAATTAATTAATATATATAAATTTAAGAATAAATAACTATAAACATATATAGTATATATATTCAAGTGCCCATCTAAACCGACAAGCTCAAAGAAGGAAAAACCAATTCACACCGTCACGTGCCCAACAAAAACTTCCATCACTTCCGGCGAGCTTAAAGGAACAAAAACCAATTCACACCATCAAGTGCCCAAGCAAAGGCGAAGACTCACTAGAGGGTCATGGCCTCCCCAAAATTTTTGAATATATATATATATATTTTTCCTAATTGAAGAAAAAAAATTTGAATATTTTTTTAGTATAGGGAAATTTTTTTATTTATTTTTGTATATGATGGTCTATACTTGGCCTCCCAAAATTATTTTTTTTCTAATGGGCCTTTAAACTGATGCATAAATAAGAATTTTAACTTTATTTTTTATAATAAGGTCAAACGGATGTGAATATGTAAGTTCTCTTTCTTTTTTCTTTTTATTTTCTGTTTTGCTTTTCAGTTTGAAACTTCTGTCAATATTATAAATAAAAAACCCTCTTATTTTTTTAAATACTCTTCTGTACATTTTTTTTAAACCAGTGGACTATATATATATATAGAGAGAGAGAGAGAGAGAATTGTTCACGTGCTTCCTGTTGTGCAAGAAAATGTATATACACTTCAACTATTAACAATTAGATTCCATTAGATAGTTAAAAAGGTAGTGTGTGTATATATATAACTTAGAGGATATAATATTATCAATCAATTAAACAAAAATCTCATTTTTTCATTATATATTTTACACTAAATTTTATTAATTGATTCAAATATTCGATTCAACTTGCAAAATCAAAAAAATCTCTCTCACTTTTGAGTTGAGATCAGAAGTGAGTAATGAATATGTCAGATTCTCGAATACCATACAAATTACTCCATCTATCCCAAAATAGTTGTCTACGTTTGAAACTTTGCTATTTTGGGACGGAGGGAGTATATAATCATATTTTTTTTATGCACATAATATATGTATTTTTTATAAAAAATAAAAAAATTAAAAAAAAATCTACATTTACTTTTTAATGTTGCAATTCATACTTATTTTTAGATAGCTCGAAGTATGAGACTAATAACTAGTTCAAACGGAGTCTTGCTCATATTTGGCAAAGATTGGTGTAAAGGACCTCTAAATTAGACGCATCACTTTTGAATTATTCTCTTTATACAATTGTACTATTATTTGATAATTGAATATAATGAAAGATAGATAGTTTAATATATATATTACATATTATGTGTTTTAATTTTTGTTAGATTATTAATTTGTATTATTATTACATCAAATTTGTATTTGTTTATAAATTAAAGTCTAATTGTTTACTTGAAACTTCTGTAAATTTTGAAAAAAAATACCTTTCTTTAAAATTTTTTTTTTTTTTTAATAAATTGGCAAAAATTTGCCTAGATATATATTTGTATGAATATAATGAATAGGCTTTTTTTTTTTTTTTTTTTTTTTTTTTTTTTTTTTGGTGTTTGAATTAGTCTTATGGTTGCTTCAAAGTTTGCCCCCCAACCACAAAATCCTGGCTCCACCTCTACTTACTCGAGTGTCGGCGAAGCTCAAGATCAGGCCGAACAAGCTCATAGAAATATCAACCGAGCTCTATACGGTGAGTCGGTGGGGGTAGCGGCAGTGGAGTGGTGATGAAGGTGGTGGTTGTGGCGGCGAGAGAAAGAGATAGAGGAGAGAATATGAAGAGAGGAGGAGAAAAAATTATGATGGTATTTCAAATATTTCAATTGAAATGTCATTGTTGCACAAATTGAAACAGCATGGTGTTTTCTGCACCTTTTGTATATAGTAGGGGTGTTTCTTGTACTTAACCCCTATTATAATACAGGAAGGCTCTCATGCGGTCTAAAACAACAGACTTTTCAACGGACCAAAACTCTCAATTACACTTTATTATTTTATCAGACTTAACCATAATTAATAATGTTAACTTTAATAGTCAATTTGTCATAGTTAGCCAATACCTTTATTCAATCTCTCTCCTCCTTAATTTCTTCCATCTTTCTTGCAATCACAACCATTACCGTCATATCCACACCGTCACTTTGATGTAATAGGAAACTTTGATGTAATTTCATTTTTCTACACTAACAACTCTAATCACACAAAAACTCCATGTATGACGGTCCCACATGTCTACCTAATATAAAGAGGCACCCAACATAGATTAAGAAAAACAAAACAGTTATATAAATGAAAGCAAATTTAATTCATAAAACATAAAATGATATAGCAGAGCATTTTTATCAAAGACGAAATAAAATTCACATAGAAGGAATTAAATAAATGCAAGGCTAATACATCCACCTAAGCATAAAAAGACCTAATTTAAAAATTCAGGTATTACAATTTATTTATATAGAGTATATATATTTAGTGATAATTTTACAAGGTTGCAAAAATTTTGTACATTTTGATGTTTGGAATGGCGTGGATTTTAGAATTCAATTGATTATGGGATATTAAAACTTTTCATATTTCTACTTTCAAGTTGATGACAAATTCTTGGAATGGTACTATGGTTTTTTTATTTTTTCTGATAAATTAATATAGCTAGCTAACTTATGGTTGGTTTAAGAAAATTAAGGTATTTCTATGTGTGGGATGAATTATTGTGGGACAAGAACTTGTCTGCTTTCTCGTGAGCTCTCTTTCTCTCTCTCTCTCTATATATATATATATATGGTAGTTGTGTTGTGGCTGTAATGGTGAAGATGGTGGCTGTGATGGTGTGGATATGACGGTAGTTATTGAGATTGTAAGAGAGATGGAAGAGTTTAAAAAGGAAAGAGATTGAATAAAGGTATTGATTGAATATGGTAAATTGACTATTAAAGTTAACATTATTAACTATGATTAAGTCTGATAAAGTAATAAAGTACAATTGACTAATTGAGTTTTGGTCCGTTGAAAAGTCCATTATTTTAAACTGCATGAGAGCCTGTATTATATAAAAAAAAAATAATCGATTACTTGATAATGATTTGAATCTAATAATATGTTATCTTAATAAATCGAATAGATTAAAGGTGATCTGATTTGATCGGACCAATATATATATAATCTAATAACATGTTATCTTAATAAATCGAATAGATTATATATATATTGGTCCGATCAAATCAGATCACCTTTAATCTATTCGATTTATTAAGATAACATGTTATTAGATTCAAATCATTATCAAGTAAACGATTATTTTTTTTATTTCATATTTAAATAATTGAATTAATTATCTTTAACTGTCAATGTAGGTTAATGTATTGTGTTTTGTGTGTGATTGTTTTATTAATTGTCGTTGAATTTTGTTAAATTTTGGCTTTCGTGCGCTCCCCCGCAGCCTCAACATGACAATCAAGAAGAAAGATGAAGGGAGTAAAGGGGGGCATTAGGTAGAGTTGACAAAATTAATTCCCGGCAGGCTTATCTTGCACTTCACCTGCCCCAAGATTTGTTATGGTTTGGTTGGTAGATGAGTTCACTAGCTAGCATCCAAGCTTGTTCATAAAATAAAAAGAATTGCGCGACAGTTTATATTCTCCAAATTGACATTTGATAAAGATTGTTTACCTAGTTATTCTCTAAATCTTATTCCATAATCCTTTTCTTGACCCAATCACACCGCCTTTTTATTGAGTGTTGGAAACTACTTACCCTGCCAAATTAGAGCTGACCACGTGGTCAATTCGAATGTTAACCGCAACAATTTACATTCATAATTGCATTATATAGACTTGGCCTGCAAGTATTTGGCACAAGTCAAGTCAATAAGCGAATTCCACCATTATATTCCTCTTGCTCCAGAGGAATACAGGATGTGCTGCTTTATCAAGAAGATTATCTATTGGACACTACTAATGTTGCGTCAGCTAGACCCATGGAGCTGACGTAGGAATAGACCCTAAAATTGGAAAAATTATTACTCCATATATTATTCTGGATTCTATTATTTTTTTCAACACGCAAATGAATGTGTCAATTCTATATGCTGTAACTTTTTATTTATTTATTTGTCAATTTGTGATTCATTAAACTGAAGATCAAAGTTGTTTTTATTGAGAATTGAAGATCGACGGTCGAAACAAAAAGAAAAATAGCCTCTCAATGTAAGGCGGAAGTAAAACTCTATTGTAATTATGACGATGGCGAAAAGAAAAAGTTGACTAGATATGTCATTGCTTCCGACATGAATTCTTCACTTTGTTATCTTTAAATTATCATTTTAAATCTATATATTATAAATCAAATTTAAATCTATGTGTATATATAATATATATGAAGTTGTTGCAAACTATTTAAAAATTCATAATATGTTGCGATCAAATGAAATGTTGAAAAGTCGAGTAGGTATAGATCCTTTGGCTATATATCCCACGGATTTACCTCAATATTTAAATGACAATTTGATGTTTCTGGTTTACATATACTTGGGTGTATTATGTGTATACAATGTCAATATTTACCAACGAACTATTTTATAATGCACGTGGGTGACATTTTCGGGAGTAAACAGATATATGTACAGAGTTTTTGAAGTATTGCAGATTAGGTTGTAATTGTGTTTAGCTCTGTTTTAAAATTTGGATACTATATTAATATTATAAGATAAAAATATGTTTTAAGTTTTAACTACAAGTCTGCAAGGGATAATAGGGAAAAATGCATGCGAAGAAAATGTAGCATATATATATATATATATATATTCTGTTTTATAGAAGAGGCCCATTAAAGATTATGGGCCTTTGGGTGGTTCAATCTTAGTCACAAGGTCCACAACCATAAAAAAACCTATACGGGGCTCCCTTTTGAAGCCCAACTCAGCTATTACAATTTCGTTCCAAATAATGCATGCTAAGAAGCAAAAAAATATATATATTCTCTTTTATAGAAGAGGCCCATTAAAGATTATGGGTCTTTGGGCCTCAGGTAGTGGTTCAATCTTACTGACAAGGTCCACAACCATAAAAAAAAAAAAAAAAAAAAAAAAAAAAAACTATACAGGGCTCCCTTTTGAATTACATATTTTTGTGGAACAGTTGCGTTTTAAAGTAACGGTACTTAAGCTCCGTTTGTTTCGACGTAAAATATTTTTAAAAAAAAAAAAATTTCAAGTATAATATTCTTTTACATTTACTTTGTCAGTGTTTGACAAAAGTCAACGTCAAGGTTAAGATCGAATCCATCGGCGGGATATGTAAAATAACTTGTCGAAAATTAATGAATAAATTATTTTTGTTTTGTAAATATTTTACAACAACCTAACACTAAAAAAAACAAAAAAATATTTTTTAAAAAATATTTTACGTCCAGACGAACGAGACTTAAAAAATGATTATTCCCATAATGAAAGAAGGTAGTGGGCCAATATAATTCATCAGTCCAAGATGATTAATTTATAGGGTCCAGAATGTAGCCTCGATATTGTATGAGAGGGATGACAGCTGAATTTGGTGTTTCAAACCCTGTTTTCTTGCTTTATGTATTATCAATAACAGCAATTATATATTATTCGAATTCCGAGAATACTAAATGATAATTTAGATGAGTAAAAATCTTTCAACTTTGAAGAATATATTATTTTTCTACCATTCTAAAATCAAAAGTTAAAACCAAAAATGTTCAGGTAGAATGTATTTAAGGGATGAAAATTTCATCCGCTTCCATTCTTGATTTTACTATTCGATCCAAATAACCTTGCTCTATGAATATTATATGTATATATGCATGCATATATATATATACACACACACACATTAGTGTTCAATTGCTTCCCAATAAGTAAGGAACAATATTTTAGGTAATTGTCTTTCTTTTAATTAATTATTAATTATGAAATGATTATATTGGATATTTTTTTAACTACGCCCCTTACTACCACTGTCCGTCCGTCACCACCACCCACCTCCTCCCCCACTGCCACGACCACCTCTCCCAACCGCACCACAACATTGCCACCTCCATCACCACCATACTGCCACTCACCACCACCACATACACCAATAATTATAAGGACGAGAATTAATTTGTAGATTTAGTAATTCTTAATCAAAAGTAGCCATCAAATCTGTCTGGGTAGAGGTGGTGTGGTGTAGGTGGTGGTGGTGGTGGTGGTGGTGGTGGTGGTGGGGTAGAGGTGACTGTGATGGTGGGTGATGGCAGTTCATAGTTAAATTATTATTATTTTTTTTCTTAATATAATTATTTAATAATTAATGACTAATTAAAATAATATTAATTTTCTAAAATAATTATTCTCCCGTGGTAGCAGGATTAGATCTATGAATATTGCTTTTTCCTTATTAGGAAACAATTGAACACTACTCTATATATACATACGTATATATATATATACACGTGTCTGTCATTCAATATATCTCTGCTTGCATAAAATATACGAGAGTCTTCTTGTGGAATCTCCTCTAAAGCACTTTCCTTTGGTCAAAGGCTTTTAATTGAAGTGTGGTGAATACTACGTCACTGGAAGCAATACATGTTGTTGCATAAATACCTAATCACAAAAAGTTGACCGATTGACACTTCCTAAGCAATGTTCCCATTCAAAGTCTCAATTAAGAAAAAGCCTACTTTTAGGCTCAATTCCACCACCTTTTTCCGCCCTTATTTCACGAATTACAGAAAGAAACAAGCATATATGTAACATGCGAGAGCTGTAGAACCGTCCATGTACTGAAAAGACCAAAAACCCCCTCAATCACAAAATGATTCACATATTGTGATTGTTTTTTTTGGGTGATAAAAAAATTAAGCACAAAAAAGGTTAAGACAGATGGCTTCGCCCGGGTTCGAACCGGAGACCTTCAGTGTGTTAGACTGACGTGATAACCAACTACACCACGAAACCATTTTGTGTCCCATTCTTGTATGTTATAAATAAAAAGAAAGACTCAGCCGAGTTAAGGGCAAATTCGTCTAATCATCCACTTAGTGCTTTTTCCACTACTTGCCTTTCTTCAAGGATCAAAAGTCAGTCAAAAATGGTAGATTCAATGGCACGATATGGCCAGCCAAAAACTTTACATCTAAGAAACATTACAATTTATTTTGGCTCACTTATATTCAAATTCTCTTCCTCGCCATAACCAAATTCTTAAATCTCAACCTCATTCTCAACAATTTTATGCCATGAAGACCTCGAAACCGGACGGCCGGCGTTTCATCGTCATCTGTTTCTTCTTCATCCTCTTCCTTTGCATCTTAGCATCCATCAACGAAGTCCGATTCGAAGCTCTCTTAAAGTTCGGTGGATGTGCTCTCTCTAACTCATCATCTTCAAACAATGTCCTTGTTTCAAATTCAACCTCTCCCGACGAAATCCGAATTCTCCTCGGCATTCTAACACTCCCGGACCAATACAGCCGCCGCCACTTCCTCCGCCTCATCTACGGCACACAGTCTCCGGTGGGCGCCAAAGTGGACGTCAGGTTCGTCTTCTGCAACCTCACAAAGGAGGACCAGAAAGTGTTGGTAGCACTCGAGATAATGCGTTACAATGATATCATAATTCTCAACTGCAAAGAGAACATGAACAAGGGTAAGACCTACACTTACTTTTCGAGCTTACCGGAGATATTCAACGACACTGATGATGGAAGTGGACCATACCCGCCCTACCATTATGTGATGAAAGGTGATGATGATGCTTATTTTAGGTTGGACAAGTTGGTCGAGTCCTTGAGGCCTTTGCCTAGAGAGGACTTGTACTTCGGTTATGTTATTCCATGCCCTAGTATGGACCCTTTTGTTCATTACATGTCTGGCATGGGGTACTTGATTTCGTGGGACATTGTGGAATGGATTAGGGTTTCGGAGATTCCGAAAGAGCATTTGGAAGGGCCTGAGGATAAGGTTTTCGGGGATTGGATTCGGAACGGGCACCGAGCTAAGAACAGGTTTAATGCTAAGTGGTCTATGTATAATTATCCGGAGCCGCCGACGAGGTGTACGCATGAGCTTTGGCCGGACACCATTGCAGTGCATCTGTTGAAGACTCAGGAGAAGTGGATTCATACACTCCAGTATTTCAATGTTACTCGGGATTTGAAACCGTCTAAATTGTATCATATACCTTAGGTAATATTTTATGGTATGATTATTCTTTTGGATGGAGTATTCAAATAAATTTTACAATTATACAGGATAATTTCATTGCATTTGACATAAGTTCTTTGAATTGTCACTTTTTTCTTTTTTTGGTAGGGTGCTTCCAATTGTAACATAGTTGACTTATTATATTCTCTTTATATTAATGAGAATCGATACTACATTTGATCTCGATTGAAGACTGAGTTTTTACAAACTTGCATTTTATTCACTTCTTTAATTTAAAAGGGTCTCATATGGGTTTTAGGGAGACCATTTCTGGCAGTGACTTGTTTTAAGAGATGGAACTCCTTGAGTTTAAAGTGTTGAGAAAAAAGGGCAAAAAGAAAAAGAGAAAAAAAGGAACATATTGAAATAATTTTCATTTTCGTAAGATCATGGACACATTTGGACTTCTTTTGAAGATTGATACCTACAAAACCAGAATTTAAGATATTTTACTGTCTGGAGAAAAATACATTACTTGTCTCTTTGACTTTTAGAAGTTGAAGTGGGTTATGACCAAAAAAAAAAAAAAAAAAATTTAAAAATTTGAAGTGGGTTCAATTTTGACAATTATTTCTTGTCTCCTTCCCCTAATTTGATAAAATAAATAAATAAAATAAAAAACAATTCTGTATATGAGTTCCCCCAATCACCTTGATGAATAAGTCGTGAATTATTTGATTTATGTCTCAAATTATGGCAAAAATCATAAGAAAGTTATTATCAAATGGGTTTAATTGGATTAGAATATTCTTCTCTCTTGCCAACCAAATTACACCTAAAATTTAGTAGGCATGAGTGTATACACAACGAAGTATTATCAAAACTTTAGTGGGTTAATACCTTGAAACATCAGTTTTTAGTGTCGATGACACCAGTGTATGAGTGATTAATTAATTAAAATTACCTGATTTTTCACCTCATTTGCCCCCAAGTATTTGTCATTTTGTCCTTAAACTCAAACGGCAAATACAGAATGGGGTATGAAATAGGTTTAACCCATTGGTCCTATTTGAAATACAATTTTGAATCTACAATGATTAATGCTTGAGTCTATAAATTTTAAAAGTAGAATGAGTATGAATTTCCTTTAAAAAGAATTGTCTTAATTGTAAGTAATTTCGTAATTTATATAGGTTGATATAAATTGGGCCACATAATCAAATAAGCCTCACAATCCAAATATGAACCATGACACCAAAGATACGAACATCAACACTCTGGATTTGGTCCATTTTAGAATCATTCTATGATCCATCAACTCCTGGGTACAAATGTCATTTTAACTAAGACAATCTCGTCACCTGCTCGTGACACAATCATTTCACCGGCCAATAGAGAGTTGCCTTTTGTCTTACCTTTCCACTCTCCTTGGCTCAAGAGCGAAACAATGAACTCACCTACAGGGTATTTTATCAATCCTCGATCAGCTCGTCTTGCTACCTCTGCTTTCTTTATAGGACTCTCTCTCTCTTCCTCCCCCCCTCTCGCTTTTTCCATAAAAACACGAACACAGTAACATATAGGCCTCTCCTGAAGCCGTCGCAGAGGCATCTCCAAGGTGTCTCGGCGATCATCGTCTTCTTCGCTATCCTCTGTAAGAACTTCTCGATAAATATCTCTATATGTTTGTATAGTGCTACATTTTTCTCTCTCTATAGATTAAGGTTTAGATTTTATTTTCTACCTTTAAGCTTAGTAGCGACTTGAACGCCGCGTTTGATTCTTTGCAGTTCTTACTTGGAAACAATAAGAATCATAGTTTGATGTAATATGTTTTAATTGGTTGATTGATATGATTATAGTGAATCTGTGCATTTCTATTAACCGATTGATTTGGTGGTTCAAATATGGATTGGAGATAGTGAAATACTTCTTGCGGTGGCTATAAAGTGGTTTTATTCGTTGATTACTTGTCTTCTTAATTTTTTGGTGCTTTGGGAGTTTGTGTTGAGAATAGTGAAGGTGACTTTTATACACAGATTACCTTGAAATGTCTGTCCATAATATTAGACACACTGTACCAAAAATTAAATTAGACACATCCTCTTCAATAAGCCTTTTTTTTTTTTCTTTTCCCAAAATTTTGGCTGTCTTGAGTGAAGAAGAGTTAGTTTTGCTCACAAAAATATACTATTTGGATGCCACATTCACTGTAACCTTTCCTACATTATCCTATATCTTGGTGAGAGGACTTTCTTTTATAAAAGGAAAAAGTTATAGAAAAATATAGTTCAAGGAAAAAAAACGGAAGGGCTTTTTCAAGAATAGATAAGTGTATTAAGGAAATGCTTTTCAATATGAAAACAGAAGCCGGCAAATCAACAAGAAAGGAAAACAACAAAAAAAAAATCTACGAAATGAAATTATGTGGGATCCACATGGATGTAGCAATCGGTTATTTGCCTCTTGCATTATTTACTTGTCCTAGTTTTTTGGCTTGAATAACACTAATCATATGCTAATAGTTGTGAAGTTTCTTAATGGTGGTATGGTAAGTTAGCAATGTATTGTTGGAGAACGGCAAAATATATGGCATATTTGCTAATCCAACTAACTATTCATCGGTTGGTTGTTGTCAAATTTTTTTTTTTTTCTTCCTCCTTGTTTCAGGAAAGAAAACAAATTACCATTATCTTAATATCAAGACTTTACAAGTACGTGCTAATTCAACTAACAACTTGAATGCATCTGGCCATCAAGTTGCTTAGGAGTCATGTAGTGGGGAAAACAAAATAGGGAATGCATCTAAACAGCATAAATTGCTAAGACGCCGCTTTCTATCTTAAAGTCACCAGAGTATCTCAAATTTTTAGGAGGCGTAAATGCTTATAAAGATTGTGTGACTCCTTATTCCCCCACTTCCATGTATGTTAGTGCATTCACAGTATTATACTTGTTAATATATTGTGCTCTTATATCTTGAAGAATGTTTTTACTTATCTTTGCATTTCCTTTAAAGTCAGATGCTTATTGTGTAAACGCTAATCTATGCTATTCTAATAATTTATCCTTAGGGTGTGGTGGAATACCTTTATCATTTTGATTAGAGATGGGCAACGGCCCGGCACCATTTTCAGATATTGGTAAACGAGCGAAAGGTATTTCTTATTTTGAAATTTTTTCTCCCAAGGGTTCCAAATATAAGTTTGAGAGATTATTAGATTTATTCTAAAGAAGCACGGACACTCCTAGGGAGGAGCTATGGTTGTGTTGCACATGATACTTACTGGACACTTCTGAAGATGTGTCTATAATTTGAAATAAATTTCTTAATTGCGCACACATGGCCAACGCTTCATGGTTGTGTAACCAATGACCCTTTTTCATTGAGTAAGACTTCTTTTAATCACGAAATAAATATAATTGTAAGGAAAAAAAATCAAAATAATGGTTTATAGTGGATATTAGAATAGGAAAGAGTCAAAATTATGCATTTACATACCATATAAACACTCACACACACATAAAAACTTCTACGCTCATATATGTTGTGTCCTTTTTATGTCTTCCTCAACATGATAGAAGTAATTGTTATTATTGATATGATTACTGTGTACAAGAACCTTGTGACAGCCATAGAATCTGAGATTTTATTACCATGAAGTAATGTTTTCCATATACAATTACAAATAATTTTAGTCATTAAATTTCTTCAATTATTTTGTTATTGAATTTGAAATTCCATAGACCAGAAGCTTTTCTATTCTACGCCCTAGTGGCTACTAAGTGTCAGAATTCATAAAATTTTGTTTGCATTCTTGCAGACCTCTTGACCAAAGATTACAATTTTGATAACAAGTTTACTTTGTCAGTTCCAAGCTCTACTGGATTGGTATGATCTAATTTCTATTCATTTGCCATTTTGCTTTATTTGTCACTTCTCAAAAGAAAATTTTGAATTGTCCAAGCATGCAGCCCACCAGAAAATTCATCTGATATACTTTGGAGCTAATATATTTTCTGCTGATTTACTTTTACATCCAATTTATTGTTCCATGGGGTAGATTCCTGCCATTGAAATTTTTGGGTATTTAGTCATCGACTTCGTCTATACCATATTGATTAACATTCCCGAAAATAATTGGTATATTAATGAGGTATGGATCACGAATGGTGCTGTGTGTATGGAAAGGGATCTAGGAGTCAGAAGAGTTGTTAAAGGTTTGCTGTGGATGTGCTTCTGTTTCGGTTTCTGATCGATCATTGGAGTGGTGAAGGCCTTCTCTTTGGTACCTTTCCTGGTCTTCTCGAGATTGTAGTTGTCAAGCTGGCTATTGTGGCAACTTTACTTAGATTTATAAAAAAGTGCCCATAAAGAATTTACCTCAGGTATCAAAATCTTTAGGAAGCTTTTTGATGCCCCTTTTGAAGGTTGCCAATGGAAGTGAACATCACCTACCACCCCACTTTTTTATAAATCTGAGGTAAATTCTTTATGGGCTCTTTAAAACATGAAAGGAGAGAAAAGAAGGAAAGGAGGGAGTTATAGGAAAGAGGATGGGAGATTAAGAAAGTGAAGGTCAATGAAAAACTAAGCAAAAGACGTATTATGTGGAGAAAGATGAAGGATATATAAGAGACACATATGAGAGAGAGAGAGAGAGAGAGAGAGAGAGAGAGAGAGATTATAAAAGAGGAAAGAGAACTGTCTACACAAGGTGAATTTCTGAAAAAAATTCATCCGTCTTGTTGGGAGGAGGGTGAACTCTATTTTACATCCATAAGGCCTTTTCATAGGTTTAAACCCTAGAAACAAATGGTGACGCCCTTTGACATATCATATCCAACATGGTAATGGTGATGCCCTTTAACATATCATAATATCCAATATGGTAATGGGTAAGATGTAAGGCTTTAGTTTTCATCCCTAAAACAACTGAAGCTTCAAATAGGTGTAACTTGAGTAAAACTAGGAGCGGATTAATGCTTTTGGAGTTCTGTATAATTAAGTGAAACAATCAAGCCATATTTATCAAAATAAAAAAATAAAAAGTGTAACAATCAAGTCATAGAAAGAAAAGAAAGGGTGTGCTTGGTTCAGAGCGTTAAGCAATTAAGAAACAATTATAAAAAACAATATTGTGTGTTAGATGTGAAATTTTGGATGCATGATTGTCAATATGAGAAAAAGATTGAATAAGAAATAAACGCAGTTGTGAGAAGCCAGGGGTGGCATTAATCAAGGATACAACGAGTCAAAGTTGGCCAATATGTTAAATTATCTGCAATGAAGAGTAATGACTGCACCTACAAAATAGTACGACTAGTTGAATATCCTGCAAGGAAAAGAGAAATGCCAAAAGAATGCGAGAATGAGGATTTGGCTCTTGATATAGATAAATGTTGAGAAATTATATTTTGTTACCAATCACAATTAGTTGGGACTCAAAATTTTTTGGAGTTGGTTTAAACTATCACTTTCAAAGTTTTTAAGAGGCAATGTTTTTGAAATTTATTCTAGGATAATACTGTTACTACAGTAGTTAGATTCCTCCAAAAAATGCTGGATTATAACAAATTGAACTAGGAATAATAATAATCCAATGTGATGGATTTTCTGCTCAATATTATGAATTGGACCTCAAATCCTCCTACCAAATACATTTACATGGTCAAATTGAAGATCTCGTAATAGTAGGCTCTCTGATGAAATGAGATCAAAACAAATGGTCCATATGTTTACAATGTTAATTGTATATGTAGTAGAAAAACTATAGTGTTGACTGAATACAATCATATTGAATATTTGAATTTAAAAAAAGAAAAATTGGTGGCATGTTTTCTTAGAACTGCTAGAAGTTTTGGTCCCTAAAACATTGAAAGATTTTTGGTTCATTGTCCCATTTCATCTTGATGATTGGAGAACAGACCACTATCTGTTGTCAGTTCAGTCTATGCATTTTTTGATGACTAAAGAACATTACCATATAATGAAATTGATAAATATGACACAATCTTCACCAGAACAATTTTGGTGTCACATAACTGTAAAAAAAAAAAAAAAAAAAAAAAAAAATCAATTTATTACCACCTTTATTCCCCCTTAATTGTTGCACTTTTTTTTTTTTAAACCATTTATGAAGATGCGCTAGGAATAGTTAGCGTCACATTGGAGATGCCATATAGCTTAGCTGTACTGTGTAGATGGTGATGCTACATGATTAGGTTTGAGTTTTTTGGAGAGCTTAAACAAACCTTAGCGCCCTCCCCCTCCCCCTCCCCCCCCTCAGTGCTTGCCTGTCCCAGATAGTAGTTAGTTCCACATTATAATCACTTATGCTGGCTTTTTACTACATGTATGGATATTATAAATGATAGTGTGCGATACTTATCAAAAATAAATAAATAAATAAATGATAGTGTGCTACTGCCATACATCTCAAAGGATAATATATGGTAAATTTTGCACTTAAATCCACCTCTGGTTGAAGAGTTGGTACATTGGCATATATTACAAGTGTAGTTCTACAGACATGTCTAGAATTTGACTCTTAGGCGTTGTGAAGTACCTGCCTTTTGGACACAAATAACTCACTATTATGTTTGTTCATGGAAGAAGAATTTGTGTCACTAATCATTTTGTATAGAAAATTTATGAGGAAGGTTTCTGCTATTGGGGCATTTTCATGAAAGGTTCTAGGTGAAGTGTTAATGAATTTTATATTCTTATTATAAATATATATGCGCATTTCTATATCTATAAACATTTGATAGATAAGTGGTCAATGCTAGAACTTTGAAGGCACTATAGAGGACCAACATATCTAATACATGTATACAATAGTCTATGTGTACAAAAGTAATACCCTCGTCTCTTTCAAACATTCTATAAAAGAATCAATCAAATATGTTCATGTTACGAGGCCTTTGGTTGAAAGGAAAGGATTTTATATTTATTTATTTATTATTTGTTTTTGGTTTATGTGCATGAAATTATTTGACATTTTAAGCATAATGCATTTTTAATAAAATTTAGTTTGATTAATAACAGGTGTACCCTCTGACTCCATTTTCATTTCCATGAAGAGTTGGTACAAAATATAGTCAAATGCAACAGAATTTTCAAAAATAAAGAAAAATGACCAATTTAGTAGGGGCAATCTAGATTGAGCATATGTCCGCAGATGTGTTATTTTTTTGTAATGAAGGCCCTCTATTTACTAAAGAAGCAAAAGGAAAAGTTAAATATTTGAAAAGGAAATATATCTTTTTCTATTTCTTGTTGTAACAGGGTTTTTGACAGCAGCCCTGGGACTGCATTAGTGTACAGGAAAGATGCTTATAAATTATGCCGTATGAAACAAAGTTGTGATATTTGTTTTCCTGTTGATTTTACAAACTATATCATGGAGTTGTATAATTTTCCTGTTTGGACAATAATTCTGTATTGCAGGGACTTACGGCTACTGGTTTGAAGAGGGATCAAATTTTTGTTGGTGACATAAGCACCCAGTACAAGAGTGGAAATGCTACTGTGGATTTGAAAGTTGATACCTATAGTAATGTAAGAAGAGAGTAGTTCTACATTAAAACCAACAATTTTTGTTTTTCCAAGTACATTTTTGTGCATCCTCTTTATGTATTAAAGGACCCAAACTGCATCACTACATTTTCTTTTACTTATTGCAGGTCTCTACAAAAGTGACTGTAAATGATATGTTACCACTTACCAAAACAGCATTCAGCTTCAGCATACCTGATGACAAGTCTAGTAAGGTCAGTGCTTCACAACTTATAGTGGGAAATTTTGATGATGGTCTGCTGCGTGTGAACCATAGGGATATGCATATGTTCTATACATCTTTTTCCTTGAAAAAGAATATCAGTATAGTTATCACAATGTGATTTGACAGCCGAAATTTATTAATCTCCTATTCCATGCAGCCCACAATGGCTCTTAAGTTGGAAAAAGACATATAAATGCATGTTTATATCTATTGCAAATTATTATTTTAGGTGGGAGGGAGAAATTGAGAAGATGAAGAGAAGAGGAAACTAAACTCAGAAAATGAGTGGTTCCTTGCTCTCCCCTGGTTGGATAAGATCTATGATACTGATAATATCATATTGCTGACAGATGGAGCGGTATTGTGGAGGAAAAATTACTAAGAACCTTGTAATAGATCCCGTTCACCACAAGGACCTTTAGGTTGAATGTAATTGGTGGTAGTCCAACACCGAATTCGTCTGCATTTGTGTGTATTTTACTATGCTAGCATTTACATGGCACATTATTTTAAAATTTATGAAAACAACTGGGAGTTCAGGTCCCCTGCAGATCTCATTTTTGAAGTCTTTTTTATTTGTCCAGCATATTCACTCGGTTTCACTAGGTTTTTGGTAACTTCTAATGGAGGTTGGGAAGAATGTTGTCCTATATTTGAGTGCAGATTTGACCTAACCTAGCATATATGAATGGATTGGCCAGTATCTTGAATTATCATGTTAATTCTTAGAAATTTGGTTGATCGGTGCTGTGTGATCTTGGAGGGTTGGACTGGTGTAAAATCAGGTTCAAACCAGCTGGGAACATGTGTTTAAAGTTGCAAAAGTACTGAGCCAAGTATTTGGCTGCTTGATCCCAGCTGTGTGTGCTCAACAAGCTACTGATCTAGCTTGGCTCATGTTTAAATATATTCAGAATTGAGGGAATTTCAATTGACCATTTGTAGCTTCATATTCTACCATTTGTTAATTTTAATACAAAGGGCAAATTACGCTGACCTATCTGAGTTCTATCGAAATTACATCGTCTTCCCCATTTTTTTTTGAAAAATTACACTTATTCTCTTGTCAGAAACTTTTGTTAAATCTTGCTGGGTGAGATTTTATTTCTCTATTTTGCCATTAAATTATTTTAATATTTTTTAATACAAATTTACATGAGATTGGTTTTATAAGTGCAAATTTTGTGTGTATTGACGTCAATAAAAATCGTTTTTGACTGATGTTAACTGTTAACTGATATGAGAATCTGTTACAAAGTAAATATGTCTGATTAGTGAAGTTAGTGTGATTTTTCAAACAAAAGGATAGGTCTATATGATTTTTACGAACATCATTGGATATAAATGTAATTTACCCTATTACAAAATAAAATATGGTGAAGATAGGTCTATATTATTTTGACGAACATCAGGGGATATAAATGTGATGTACCCTAATACAAAATGCAATGAGTCAAAGTTGTAATTGGGATAGCTTACATATGACATATTTATGTTTGATACCATAACCTGTGCATATTAGCCTAGATTTTCCGCATTATTTTTACACAGGATAACATGTTCTAATCTGATTCTTCAGCTGATCGTTGCAATTAAAATTACCATAGCTTTAGATATGATAAATGGACATAATATATATTCACTTACAACTAGCTACATTTAATGTGTAAATTACCATGGTTGCCTCTGCCCCATGTTCGCAAGCCCCATGAAAGGACTTGGACTTGTTTGGACACAGTTAATTAACTAAACGAGACTTAAAACCAGGATTAGCTCAACTCATTTGTTAAATGAACAAGGTTGAATTTGAGCCAAATTCAAGCTGTTCACAAACAGCTAAATCCATTGCAGCTCTACATGGGTGTATTCTTATCAGTTTGTACTCGTTGAACTTGATTTTTCAGGATAATAATCAAGTCCAACAACTTTTGAGGTGATAACGCATTGCAGCTCAGTTGGTTTAGCTATGTTGGCCATAGGTCATCAAATGGTCTCCTTGAGAAAAGGAAGTTACCAATGGGGCTTGATCTTTGGAAGTCGGCTTTTCTTTTATGATAATGAAATGAAAGATTGAACTAAAAAAGTTTCCTGGGTTTTCATTTTGTTTAATAGTGTAAAATGCTTGCAAGCCAGGAATAATTTTTATTTTCGGTGTAAGTTTTGAATATTAAGGCGGGAATCAATATTTCTTGAAGTCTTATTAGACGAATTTCTGATTATTGTGTATCCTCTCAGCTGGATGTGCAATACCTTCATCACCATGCAGCCATCAGTTCCAGTATTGGCTTGAATCCTGCCCCTCTTTTGGAGCTTTCTGCGGCACTTGGGACCAAGGATCTAACTTTTGGTGGCGAGGTTGGATTTGATACTGCTTCTTCTTCATTCACCAAGTACAATACTGGTATCAGCTTTAACAAGACAGATTTTTCAGTGGCGCTTATGCTGTATGTATCACCAAATCTTAATTATTTTCCTTGGAAAGGATATCCTTTTTCTATTTTCAATTTTCAATTTTCAAATGCATACATATAAAATATGTTTGATGTATGTTAATATGCATGTGCAATAGTTAAGTGACTATTCTGGTACTAAAGCATGATTGAGACCTCTACAAGGACGTTTACTAGTGTCTGCCTCAGGAAAGAGTATGAAATTAACTGTACAACATGTCTACAAACATATATATGTATATATAATGGGTATGTTTGATGTCTAGCACGTGCATGTGGAAATAATGAACTTTTCTGCAATCATAGCCTGATTAAAACCTCTGGAAGGAAATCTACTGCTGTCCAACCCGGCAACACATAAGAGATGTCCATCACGAATATCACATAAAGGAATGACCTTTTATCAATGCCAATAATCAAATATGTCCAACATGCATGTGTCAGTGAGGTTGATGTGACAGAATTACAAAATAGGAGTGCTTATGTTGCCTGGTTTGGGATCTTTATGGTTCGGGTTGTTGAGGTCCTCAGATACCTGTGTTTTGTAATCGGTGTTGCAGTGCGCTTTACCACATAATTATTAATAAACTTGTACATGTTATGCGGAGGGCTCTGAGGGTCATCTGATTCTCAGTGGTGTTATTGGTCCTTTTCTAACTGTGAAGCTAGTCCTCCAAGGATTTACAAACCCTCCCTGTAACCCAAAAGAAGAGATAGCTCAGGATATGGTGCTTTAACAACCATATCAGAGTCTTAACACCATCAAAAGACCTATGTCTTTATTGCCAAAGCTCCCATCAAATTCAAAGGGGCTTGACCCTCCATGTGTCTCGAACTTGACTTCTCACTGTGCACCCCCTCCAAGCCTCGGGCACACAGATCGTGGACTTCAGCAAAACCCAATGCACTTCAGCAATCTAAAAAACATAGCCTATACATTCCTCACCACTGGCCAATGTAAGAGAAGATGACTCACTGACTCCCTATCCCTCTTACACATACAACACCAATTAATAACAATCTGTCAACTCTTCCTCAAATTGTCCAGCATTCCCAAGAGCCACTGTCAAACCAAAGGCGGCCTCTACCTGTTATAGAAGACCTTTATGGTGCCTTTAGCTGCTTTTACGTTAAATCGGAGTATGCATAGCTGTACACTAACTGTGTCTCAAAATATTCAATTAGATTAGCTTTGAATTATTTTTGGGGATATCTCCAGACTCCAACACCCCACCCCCCTCCCCCCCGGCACTCCATATTTCTTTCTTTTCTTTTCTTTTTTCTTTGATGAATCTGTTGAGGTTTTTCTTTGACCTATTTCTTGGTGTAGTGATAGAAGCTTGGGTCGCCATCGTGCCTTTAATGCCCTTTATAGAAGACCTTATGGCCTTAAGGTGCTTTACTTTATTCAGAGTATGCATAGCTGTACACTACGTGCGCTTTAAAATATTCAACTAGACTAGCATTGAATTATTTGCAGGAAGATCTCCAGACTCCAACACCACACCCCTCTTCAGTCCTCTCACTCTGCTTTTCTATCTCTGTCTTTTCTTATAAATCTGTTGACCTATTTCTTGGTGTGGTGGTAGAAGTTAGGGTTACCAGCCTGAGAACGTGGACTGAAGTTTGGGGCCATCAGTTGTGCAAATACTGCTAAAAGTTATAATGTATCTGGTATGCCCCTCCCACCACTTCCAAAATATTGGGTATTGGCTTTTATCCATCCTTCAATTTATCGAAAAAAAAAATCCATCATTTCCTTCAATTGTCAAAAACTAGGGTGTTTTCTTGAGCAGTCATGCCTGGCTGAATACCGTGACATCCAAAAGTTTTAGAGTGGTTTACAAAAATAGTTTCTCTATAGACTCAATTTTGGTGTGGGGGGGGGGGGGGGGGGGGGGTTGGGGATGGGGGGTGTGAATAAAAGTATGGTCACGAAGAAAAAGATACTTTGACACACTCCCCTCCTCCTAATTAGTCCATATTTTTCACAAATGAGATGAAAATCTTCCAAAGGTAGGATACAGACATGGTGGGGGTGTGTTATTTTTGATAGTATGCAATTTAATAAATTTAAATTATACAAACTATATTATGACAATCAGCCTTTTATATAGGCAAATATGTACCAATGATAAGCCTGTTTGTGTATGTATATAGATAGCTATCTATACACAATTTGATTACTCTCCTACTCTCATGGTCAATTCTCTACTTAACCATTCTATATCTCTTGTTTATATGATCAAACTTTGTAAATTTTATACTGACCTTTAATTAGTTTTTTTCCTATAATTTTTTTCCCCCTCCATTCTAAAAGTGCCTTGGACGTTTTGGTAATGCGTCCAAAATTAAAATTTTATCCTTAATTAGCTACTATTTTGTTACTTTGATGGGGGAACTCATGATCATTTGGTACTTGACTAATATTTTAGATTAAAAAGTTGTGAAACTATACCTTCACAAGGGCTCCTGCATATGTTATTATTAGAAGCAAAAGTTAAATTAGCTTCCAATTTGACATGATTGGGCTCCCCTAGGCAATCCATGATTCACTTTCTGTTGCATTGGACTTGATTGGGCACTGTAGCAGTCCTAGAAAGAAAGCATAAGATATATAAAGTTGTGCTTATAATAGTCATTTCATTGTTCACCCTGTTACATGTGATTTGTTTTGCTTTATCAATTCATTTCTAATAAAACAACTGGACTCGTCTGTGTAGGGCGGACAAGGGACAGACGCTGAAGGCATCGTACATCCACACTGTGAATCCCTTAAATGGAACTGAGGTTGCTGCTGAAATGACACACAGGTTTTCCACTTACAGGAACAGTTATACCATTGGAAGCTCCCATGCAGTCGATCCTTACACCAAACTAAAAGCAAGGTTTTCTGATGATGGAAAGGTTGCTATGCTGTGCCAGAGGGAATGGAGGACCAAGTCCTTCTTAACTTTTTCAGCAGAGTATGACTCAAAGGCCAACAACGCGGCACCGGCAAAGTTGGGTCTTGCTCTTGCTCTTGCGCCCTAAAATGCAGATGCCTTCATCACTTATGAAAAAAAAAAAATGCAGATGCCTCTTATCATTTACAAATCTTAATATCTTGGATGTAATAGTTTTATCTACATTTTTTAAAACCCCAAGGAGGTTTACGTGTTACCCATGTCTTTGTAAAACTAAGATGTAGGATGTAGCTGGTTCATTGATGAATTTGTTCCGGAGCACTGATTGGGAAATTGAACCCAGTTTTGAAGATATTTACTGAGGCAAAGATGATAATGATCGTGACATTGTTACTGGAATTTGAAATCCTATCATTGTTACTGGAGTTTGAAGATATCGCAGTTTTTTTTGGCTTAATGATCGATCTTTTTTCAAGTTTTGTCTAGGTTTATGATTATGTGAGATCATAATGGGATAATTTAATTTGACCATTCATTTGATTTTTTATATTTGTTGTTTAGAAATCATTTAATCTTTTAATTTGCTGAATGGTGGATTGCCTTAGTTAACTGGGGTTCAGTTACATTTAACTGTATGAGATAAGTCACATCTAAGCATGCTTCGATGCCTTAATAATGCTTACTAATGTCGGTCCAATTGTGTAATCTCCTGAGGGTCAAGAAGAGTATATTCGTTGTGCTCGGTGCACACATGAGAATGGACTGCACCGGGCACACATGGAAACACGGACGGCTCTGCTTTGATGGCCCCGTGCACGGGCCCACTAAATTACAAAGAGAAAGTAGAAGGATTGAGAACGTCCGATTTTTTCTTTTTTGTTTTAAAGTATAGGTAAGAATTTATAAGATGTGTACTTCTTAAAAGTAACAATGGAGTTGGATTATTGGTATTGAAAGAGGAGAAGATTCTTGTGCATCACTAGGTGGAACAGTGGAACTTGAGCGGTAAGTTGAGGGCTTAACCCAAATCTGAGTCAACTCCCGGAATATAATTCTCAAACTAAAATGTGTGGTCGAGTTCAAGTTGAATGTATTTTTTTATTTTCAAATTAAACTTTGTTGGTCCGGTTAGATTGGGTTGATTGGCTGGATTAGTCAACTCAGCTAGGTTTCGCTCTTGTTATTAACGTTTTAACACAAAGTTTGGATTGAGATTAAACGATTCAAGCTCAATTTGAGTTTTGGTTGGATTAAAATTTTAATGACAAACTAAACTTGAGCGCTGAATTTCTTAAGACCTTGTATGATAAAATAAGTGTGTAAGATTCTTATTATAAAATATAAATAAATGAATCCAAATTGAATTGACTTGCCCAAATTGTACCCTTATATACCATCTTGAAATATTCACCAATTAAGAAAAGGGTTAGGGATATTATCCTCTTTAATTAAGAAAAGATCTTCTTCAAGTCTTTGTTTTTTTTTTTTTTTTTAAATAATAATGAAATCTAAATATAGGTTGGCATGAACCCCTCAAAAAAATAAAATAAAATAAATTCAAGTCCACTAAAGAGATTAATTACATTAGAATCTTTCTGAATCTTAGTAATTTAGAACTTTTACCATTTTGATGTCCATGTAGCAGATTTATTTCAGGGAATGCGATTTAGAACCACATGTTAAATTCTAAAGTATTAAATTGGCAGCACATTTATTTGGAGAATGCAATTTAGAAGTATAGTGTTAAATTATTTAACTCACGAAAATATCTTGCATTTATATTTTTTCTCTTAAAGGGTCGGATAGATAAATTCGAATAGGATCCAAGTCCAAAGGATCCGAGCTTTGTATTAATTAATTAATTTGTTGATTTGCAGACCGTTTACCTGTAAGTTGTAACATTACTTTTAGCAGCGACGTCTTGGCAAAAAAAGCATTGCACAAAAACAAACTAATCCCAAGCCCAGGAAGATGTGCTCGTTGTCCGATCACTATCTCTCTCCACCGACACCTACCTCCGTTCTCTCTGTCAATTCTCCATAGAACTCTCTCACTCCTCTCTCGTCCACCCTTTATTTCCCTCAGATCTCTACAATTTCCGTCAGATCTCAGTAGTTTTCTCAAGAAAATCGCAATTCACTTTCCGGGAAAAAAAAATGTCACACGGCGACACCGTACCGCTCCACCCCTCTTCCCAATCCGATATCGACGAGATCGAGAACCTCATCAATGCCAGCGTCCAAGCGGGCCCCGCCACTGTCCTACCCGCGCGTCCTCCCAGCCCTCCTAGAGCCTCAATCCCGGTCTCGCCATCACCGTTCATGTCCTCCAATCTGCCTCCACTGCCAACCAAGCCGGCAGCTGTCCCTGCCCCACCGCCGCTGCCGAGCTCCACCGGCGGTCAATCCAATTCTCGGCAGAACAATGGTCCCACCGGGTTCGGGTCGCCCCCGAACACGCTGACGGAGCCGGTGTGGGACACGGTGAAGAGGGATCTGTCCAGGATTGTCAGCAACTTGAAGCTTGTGGTGTTTCCGAACCCGTATCGTGATGACCCGGGGAAAGCGTTGAGGGATTGGGATCTTTGGGGGCCATTCTTCTTCATTGTGTTCCTCGGTCTCACCTTGTCATGGTCAGCTTCCGTCAAGAAGGTGAGCCCTAGAAATTTTGTATACATGTATTGATTCATACACTTACGTTCTTAGGTAGGTTATAACTAAATCTTACAAACCCATTATTCTATGTATTTACGCATTTCCTTTTGGGTATCGTGCTTATTGTTAACCTTTATTCATTATACGACAATTGCTGATAATTGCATTGATGGATCTGCATACTTCTAAGAATATGGGCAAATGTTTTTTGTTATATTGGATGACTAGTTCATATTGTAGGTTTATTATTATTATTATTATTTTTTGGGATTGTCAGGTAAACTTCGTTTGTATTTTACATGTTAGTACCAATTTTGGTTTAAGGTAAATTTGAAATATTGCAGCTGGATGATTTAAGAATCACACATTTGTTCAATATAGATTGGTAGGGGATCTGTGTTAGGAGCTTCATTTTTAAGAATTACAAGCATGTTTAAGACGGAAGATTGTGTTTGTAGTGGTCCCTTGTTGGATACTCAATAGTCCTGGTTCATAATGCAGTCAATATTCGATTGATCAAGTGAGAGGTGTTGTCCTAACCTACTCTAGTCAAGGATAGAGGTTTGATTATGAAAGACATGGGATTTTTAAGTTCTTAACTAGCGGGATAGGTGCACTAAGCAAGACAAGAAGCAAACTAATACACAATGTATTTTAGGGTTACATATGGTACATAATGTTTCAGAGCTTAGAGGTGTGGCTAAAATATGCAATAAATGCTAAAATAATAGCTGATGAGGTAGGTAATTGTAACGGTTCTTTTTTAATCACTATATGTTTGTGTCATCCATGAATAGAAATGTCAAACTGATAGTTTACCAAGCAAAAAGAAAATGTTAAAACTGATAGGATGATTAGAAATAATATATTGAATACCAATCACAGTTCTTCCATCAACATGTTATCCAATTGAGCTATTTATTTCTTATTTATTTTTTGCTAAACAAAATAATCATATTGATACAAAAATATAGTACAAGACAAGGGGAGAACAAACCCTAAAACAGAGAGCTGAGCCCTACAAAACAAACAAACAGCAAATGACATCACTAAACCAACTGAACAACAATAAATCCATCAAAGTACCACAGTCAAAATACAGGAGCAATTGAGCTATTACATCTCCCAATAAGCATTTAAGTTTCACTTTTGTTCTTTAACAGAAAGAAATTGTTGGGTATGAGTTAGTAGACTAGACTTCTAAGACTATCTATTAGTGATGTCAAATTATAGCAATGGCTTTCTACAAGTGCTTAGGTTCAGTGCTTCTTGCGAACCTTTTAGAGGTTCGGAACTGAAATGCAGCTGGGACCTAGCTCTTCGTTTCATGGCCTGACAATTAGGCACTTTGATTATAATAAGCTGGGGCTTTCTTGATGTTTAAAGCACACACTATATCCAACTCATTGTGAATAGTGATAAAAGGACATCAGATCATTCGTCTAATAACAAATAACATGTAAGCTACACACACTAGAATAGATTATAACTAAGAAGTCTGCTACCCATGTGGCTGTTTTTTTATCAATCATTTGAAGACTAAAATCCCTAGATTAAGATCTCATTCGTTTGCTTCCATTTTGTTCTCAGTATTTAGACATAGTTCGTATTTTTTTAATTTTTAGATTTAATCTGACTTACCTTCATCTTCTTTGAATATCATTCATCTTTTTTTTCTCCCGATCCGGGTGAAGTTATCGCCCTGTCATAATAAGCCATAGCTATCCAATAGAGGAGCAAAAAAGGGGCTTTGCTTCTAGCGCTTCTGTTGCGAAGAGAAGGGGCCATTATGCTCATTACTGAACTTGTTGCTTTTGGCAATAATGCACTAATGAGCTGAGCTTCCAAGAGGCTTCCCTAAACTTTCCGGCTCACTAGTAGGTGACGAGGGAATTTCTGAAAAGGGGGTTCACTAGCAGCGTCTCTGCTTGATCAGCGGGTAGATATTATGTAATTTCTCAATATGAATAGATATTAAACAGATATCTTTTTATCCTCGTCATAGATGAACTAATAGAATACTTTCAGAATGATGCTAAATTAAAGGTTTGACAAGAAATACTAGAATGAAGAGGGTTTAAGATAAGTATGACTAAAAGTGAATATGTAAAATGTAACTTTAGTAAAACTAGATACACAAGAAGGAATGTAGTGAAGATCAAGGTCAATACATACCAAAAAGCAAAGATTTTTGTTACCTAAGCTCAATTGTGTATATAGAGGGAGAAATTACAGACAATGTTAATCGTAGACTTGAAGCAAGATATGTAATGGAGGAATGCTGCATATACATCTAAACTTGAAAAGTAATTCTTAATCTTATAAAACATATAACCACTTGACCAACCATTTTTTTTTATATATATTATTTTCTTTATTTTTGGTCGACATTGGTGGTGTCGTGCTTCTTCAAGCACCTCATAATCCACCACCGGCCACATGCAGTTCCCCAATCCTATATGCTCTGGCAATTGTTGAGAAAATTTCTTGGGGGTGGCCGGGCCCCAAGGGGATTCGAACCCCCAACCTCTAGGATGTGAACTGTGAAGTAAGAGCCTTACCATAAACTATGTTACATGGACTCTTCAAATGTAGTAAAACACCCGTGTTGGACACATATTGCTTAGACATGGGCATATGATGTGTCCGACACTTTTGGTTGGACATGTACCTAAAAAACATATCCAATCATTCAATTATATTGTATTATTACTTTAAAATTAGTTTAAAACCTATATTGAACACTATATTAGATAAAAACATTACTTTCTTGTAGAAAATAAAATAAATTAACTAAATAAAATGAATATTTAGTAGTGTGCACGTGTCCTTTGGTTTAGAGATTTGACACGTCCGATGCATGGATACATATCCGTACATGACACACGTACCCGAGTCCATGTAACATAGACCATAAGCTATACCCTTGGGGTTGACCAACCATATTCTACATGAGAGAATGTTGGGTATTTAAGAAGTAACATATTCATAAGATGAGTGTAGCAGGAATTGCAACTGTTGTGATGGATGTATGACAAGATTAAGAGAAAGATGAAATTATGAATGAATGATTCTGTGAAATCTAGTGCAAATGTCAGACTTGTCAATTTAGGATATGGGGATTCAGTTTGAATGTGTCCAAAACCTGCATACGGGTGCATGAACACTTCTTGCACACTTAACATTATACGATACATAAAAGTATAAGATCGTACTATTATTCTTCAAAATATACTCAATATTAATTTATATTAAATGGAAATGGTGAAAAAGGGAGAGATTCCACCTATCTCAGAATTAGGAAAATCTTCTTGGCTATCAGATTTGAGTTCTTCACAATTAGAGGATCTAGGTGTCCTATTTAGGTACATTTGTAAGGGACATACTACATACCCATACCCATACCCAAGTCGTGTCGTGTTATGTCGACACAAGTATGTTCAGTTGAGGGAGAATCTAAGTAACACAGCCAGTCACCACTGGATTGAATATTTTTTCCTTATCAATAAAAGAACATAAATTCTTATTATTTATAATGAGGTTAGGATTATGATGAGATATAATTTTGAAGACTGGTTTGGATTTTGACCACAGATATTACTTCGAGGATAGATGAGGTTACGAGTATGACGGGATATAATTTTGAAGACTAGTTTGGATTTTGATAACAGATATTTCTTTGAGGCTATTCCTTACCCTTGAGATGCATGCTGTGAAGGGGTCTGAAGGCAAGAGACAAATTCCTTACAATCTTTGTTGTGGTGAAAATATAGGGTAAAGTGCATAAAACCCCCATAAACTATAAGGCATTTGAACAAAACCCCTCTGAATTAACAAGTGTCCCCCTAAACTAGTGAGTTTTCTGGTACCGGAAAAAGAAGATTATGAAATTATCCTTCAGTGAAACCCGCCGTTTTAATGCTTTATACACTTGTGCTGCTGATGTGTTAGCAAAACCTCAATAACCAATAAGAATTGGACAACACATCACCTACCCCACCTCACTGTAACGCGAAACACCCACCTCATTTTAGCACCGCCAAACACGATGTCTATTTGATGTCTTCCTCTAGGAACAGTCGTGTAGCATCGGCGGCGAGGACGATGACCACCGCATTGTCAATAACTCCTCAACAACTCTGATTCATCTTTGCCCAACTCCTTCCACGTTCGTCCATGGCCGCCACCATTGTTCTCCACCCAACCACCTCTACCATTCACGGCCGACACCCTCCGATCTACCTCCCTCTCTCTTTGTCTCAATTTTTTTTTTCTTTCTCGACCTCCAACTCCAGCAACTAAGATCAGTGAACGAAGAATAGGTGAAAAATCTTTTCAAAAAGAGCCACAAAATCATTCAACGCGAGGTAGATCCACCGTCTCGCTTTTACCTTCCACGCCCACGCTTCCCATCAGATTGTTTTGTTTTACTGAATCCCATCGGCTTCTCAATTTGTCGAAACCCAAACTTCCTCAGAACACCAGCTTGAAACCCAAACTTCCTCATTCAACCCTAACCCCCAAATTGAAACCCCGTCACCATTTATAGTGATACCATTCAACGAAGGTGAAGACATTCCCCACAACCCATTCTCATTCTCATCTTGCCATCGCCGGTCGCTTTTCGCTCTTTTAGACCCATGTTTTGTTGACAATTCTTGACCACATTCGGCCAACAAATTGGGGCCGATTCGATTGGAACAGACTTAAAACTCTCGCAATCCATATCAGCTTGAGCGTAGGGCGACAGTTTAGAGTGCAATGACAGATATATATATATATATATGACACACACAAATATATATATACAAATAGAGAGATTGATGGTCTGGATTCCAAGGAGAGAGAAAAGATGGGTTGAGAATATTGGTTTTTATTAATTAATACTTTATAAGGGTATGTTTGTCATTTTAAAATTATAGCCATGGCATGTGATCATCACGCGCCTATTTAGCCGGAGAAATCAAACAGAACCTCACCGGTGGATGCTTTTTGCAAAACTTTTAATAGTTTAGGGGGTTAACTGTAAAAATAGAAGTTTAGGTGGGCTTTTAGGAAAATAGAGTATAGTTCAGGGGGGTTTTATGCACTTTACCCGAAAATATATGATGGATTCCTGAATTAAAATAGTGGTTCTCGAGGAGAAATCAATTCACCTGCCAAAAAAAAAAAAAAAAGAAGGGGAAATTAGGTAAAATATGATTCACATTTTTTTTATGACCTCCCACTTCAGTTACTTATAAATCTATATATATATATATATATGGGAGTGGCAACTAGAATTGGTACTTTTGTGGTGGAAAATTTATTAATTGTCTCTTTGTAAGGGTAAGTGGAGTAAGACTAGTGAGAGAGAGATAATGCGGGTGGAGGGACAGACTCAATATTTATACACAAAATTCTGTAGATTCTTACATTCAGTTACTTGTAATTGAACTCATGCTTTGTAGAAATATTAAATCTCATAGAGTCAACAAAAAGGTGTTCATTAATAATTTGTAGGTGGAAAATGAAAATAAAATAAAAATAAATAAAAATCATTCACTCTTTTATTATATCTTGAATCTATATAGTATTTTTCCCCTTGTTGATTTTTATTTTATTTAATATAAATCCTAAGCTTTGAGTTACAAATTGGTGGAGTGCTGGGCAATCTAAAACTTTTTTGATGATACTTAAAGAAAAAGGATATTCGAAAAATTCATAGAATTAAAAGAACTCCTCTTGGAGGAAATAATAAAGGAGTACTTTTAAACATATCTACACAAACTCCATTTAAGAATCCACAAAGAACAATTATGATCAAGAATGACAATCTCGTTTTACAATTCCACACTTTTCAACATATGTAGTTTGTTTCATTATTTTTAGTTGTCATTCTACTTGCTATTTTATCTCTTAACTTTTTTTTTATTTTTTATTTTTATAAGTAAAAATATATTAGAAAAACGTTCAAAAGGGGAACACATCCCTAATGCAAGAAGAAAAAACGATCTGTGGACCAATAGGATCCAAGAGATCAAAGAAATCATCAATCGAGGAGCATGCGTTTCCTCTTACATAACAGAACAAAGAACGAAGAATATGAATTTTTAAATTAGCTAAAGACGATTCTTTTCCTTTAAAGGATCTGTTATTTCTCTCACGCCATAAACACCACCAAACACAATGTGGAACAATCCTCCAATAATCACAAGCTTGTTTTTTTAACAGGACAACTTCTCCAAGCGTTAATCAATTGTGAGGAGTGCTTAGGCATTACCCAAAAAAGGCCAAACATGTAAAAAATAAAACTCCAACAATCATATGCCACAGGACAATGTAAAAGAATATGATCCACTGATTCACTATCTGCTTTACATAAACAACACCAATTAACAATGATGTTGTCTCTCTTTCTCAAATTGTCCAATGTCAAAATCTTTCCCAATGTGGCAGTCCGAACAAAGAATCCGATTCGAAGAGGAGCTTTGAAATGCCAAACAGACTTCCATAGGAACTCGTGACCAATGAAATTGGACAAACACAAGAACATGTATCGGACACCATACCTACCATGAGCTAAAGGAACCCACAAAATATCATCTCACCCTCTGCCAATATCGTTCCGCCTATACAATGCATCCAAAAAAACACAAGCTTCCTCCATTTCCCAATCCTGAAAGGGGCGCCTAAAACGCACATCCCACGTAACTCCATTGTTATCAAGTTGAAAACAATCAATTACGTAGACATGCTTATTGACTGCAATACTGTAGAGTCTAGGAAAGGAGTGAGACAGCAATTGATCTCCGCACCAAAGGTCCTCCCAAAAACGAACATGTCTGCCATCACAAACTTTGAATCTAATGTGTGAGGAGAAAACATCCCAGCCCTTCCGAATGAATTTCCACACACCACGCCTCCCAAAATAGTGACTGGGAGAGGGGACCAGCCCCCACTCTCCTCACCAAAACGACACGAGACAACTCTTCTCCACTGACGATGGCGTTCCTATATAACTCTTAACTTTTGGACTTAGGAATTCCTATATAACTTAATTTAGATAATACAATCTTTTTCAATTCTACATTAACTAATCTATGTATTGGATTTCTTTTGCCCCACATTGTTGGTAATCAGTGATGTGTCTACGAAGTTTTTGATTGTTTTTAAATTTTAACATTCGTATGTTATTTTGTCCTTTTTACACTTTCCCTGTCATTTTAGATACAATTTTTTGTTGGAATTTCTATCATTTAAATTGGGGTTAATCGCAATAAACCCCTCTCAAACCATCAGTGATTAGCTAATAACCCACTTGAACTGCAGCATACCCATACAAAAACATAATGAATCTGGTCAAATGCTTATGTTTGTGTGTATACAAGAGTTCCGTTTGATTTGTTTGCATATACAGTGGTTTTAGAGAAAATCTGGAGAAATACAATCATATGATGGATTCATAGCTGAAATAGAAAATAAATGTAGAAGAGGAAGATAAAGAATGAGGAGGAGAAGTGTTAGAGAGGAGATTCATTTTGAGGTGAAAGAGGAAGGAAGATGGGATGCCAAATGATGAGAGAGAACGTGGACTATGTGGGCTTTTTGTGCGCGCGTGTGTGTATACACACATTTACATACACCTGAACATACATACATTCTGGTTGATAAGGGTAAGTTTAGAATTAAATAATATTATGGGTCAGGTGACATGGTCATGCAATAACATTAGTTTTTCAACGGCACAACAATGGCAAGGGGGCGTTTGCAAAAATCGCTATAGTTTTAAGTGTTCTGTGTCAAAAATGTGTTTAGGGGTTTTGGTGTGGGGATAGGAGGGGCGGGGCGTGGGGTGGTTTGCAATATACCCTTTGAATTGTGTATTTCCATCTTTTATGATGATTAATCATTCATTGAATGACTGAAAACTGATTTCGTATTTTTATATAGTTGAAAAAAAATTTACTTCACATTTTAAGTGAAACACATTTGAATCATACTTATTCTTTATTTTTCTAACCATACCAGGGATTCATTCTATATGCTAGTAAAATTACGACTTTATGATACCACTAAGGTGGAAATTATAAGATGAAATGATTGTCAAGAAATTTTATTTGTCGGTTTTCAATTATATATACTTCCATTCCATTTTCAGCAGGAGGAGGAGGAGTTTGTGGTTGGCCATCCAATTTTTATTGTCCATGTCCTTTTTTTTTTTTTTCCAATGTTTTGAATAACTTGTTTGATAATTCTGCTATAGACATGGCGTTTTCTATAGAGACAGAAGCTACATGATTGAATACTGTAAATCTTTTGTATGCAAGGACCATCATTATTTGATATAAGAGATCCAGAATCTTCACTTTATATTAATTCTCTTCCTGAAGAGGCTGGTTTTCTTTCCTTAGACATCATATTATTCTCGTTACTTTTCATTTGTTAAAAATGGAGCTAGTTATTGGAATGAGTTCACTACTAACAGCCTTTTGTGCCTTTGCTTATCTTCCAGTCTGAAGTCTTTGCTGTTGCATTTGCACTGCTGGCAGCTGGTGCTGTGATTCTGACATTGAATGTACTACTACTGGTAATCACCCTCTCTCGAGGTTTCAGATTATAATTTAGAAATCAATTTCTGCTGGAAGTTAGAATGTTCCAGTTTTGTTGATACTGTTCTGTATAGAGAGAGAAACCTTAGGTCTCCCAGGAAATTTTTGAATTTGATAACTACTTCCATAATTCAATTGTTCGCTTTGGACTGACAAGTTTTCCATGTATTGTGTTTCAGGGCGGTCACATAATCTTCTTCCAAAGTCTCAGTCTCCTGGGTTACTGTCTATTCCCTCTGGATGTTGGTGCCCTAATTTGCATGTTAAAGGACAATGTGATAGTGAAGCTGGTTGTGGTGTGTGTGACATTGGCTTGGAGCTCCTGGGCTGCATATCCATTCATGAGTACAGCTGTCAACCCAAGAAGAAAAGCCCTCGCACTCTACCCTGTGTTACTCATGTATGTCTCTGTTGGTTTTCTCATCATTGCCATTGATTAAGGCATCAGCAGTGATTATTACAGAAATTCTTATAGGCTGATCAAACTCGCAAGCCATTAGTATAGGCAAGTTTTGTGTGGTGGTCGTTTTGGTTCTTGTGGGATTTCCTTAAATTTTTTCCCTGCTCTGGTTCTGATTTAGTACATGTGGAACTCGGTCTGCCAATATTCTATGCTAGTTGTATGAAATTTTTACATGAAACCCTATCCAACATTAATGTTACTCAAATCTGTCCCAATTTTCTGGAGGGTTTTCGTATGAATATTTTTACATGAAACTACTATATCCAACATAAATATAACTCAATCTGTCAATTTTCCGGAGGGTTTACTGACATTGGGATCCGAATTTGAATTTTGTTTTTGATGTTTAAGCAACACTTGCTTCCAAGAATTGGATCTCTCTCAAATCTGATAATTTGTCTTGAAGGTAGTACAGGTAAGATTTATTTTCAACAGACTTTAGCTGGTCACTGCAGTAGTATCAGAATATAATAGCACAGCATATAAACTTAGCTGTACACCATATTTTGATGTGATATTAACTGTGTGAGATGTGTACCATTAGATTTTCGGGTTCTTACTAGTTCTTCTTTTGAAGGTTGGGATATTCAACCCAAAGAATATGTTACTTTTGAATAAATGTTCTTTTCAATGCCTATGATTCTTTTTAAATTTTGACCGTTAGTTACACTTTGAAATGCGTTAGTCTTGCTTTAATCAGTATCTATTAGATAATATATGCCCACTGCAAATTCCTGCTCCCCTACTTTTTAAGAGCTTATGGTTCTAATGCAATAGACTTTAATTTACGTAATTGTAGAATATGTGCAGTCAAAAGAATCATTTGTATGGTAGTAGTAATTGCAGAGTAATCTTTGCCTCCTGTACTTGTTGCTCTTACTGGAGGACAGCAAATATGTCGGACATTTTCTTTTGTTTTCCACAGAGTTGTGATTCTTATTAAGGATGTTACAAGTAAAGGCCTTTGCATATGCTAACCAGTTCATGAATCATTGGCATTTTATTTTTTACCTCTAGTAAGTATATGCTGACCACTTTTTTGGCCATCTTATGCAGGATTGGACTGTTAGATTGTTTCAGCTTAAATTTTTTCTTGGTATTTTTATTACGTTTTGATCAGTGTTAGTTGTATGAGATAGTTCGTTTCAAGGAAAAATTATTTATTTAAACTAAAAAAAAAGTCAGAAATTTTGAAGTTGAACTCTTGATGTTGACACATAGTTTGGTTGAAAGGAGGTGGAAGGAAAGGAAGGGAAAAGATTTGATGAAGAGTAGTTCATCTCTAGTTTGGAACTTTTAAGAGGTGGGGGGAAAAAAAATAATAATAATAAAAAAAAGGGGTAGAGCAAATGAGGGGAAGGGAAGTGATTCCTCCTCTTTCCTCCCTAAGCTACCAAACAATAATTTAAGCTAAATCATCTGCAAAGTGCAAACTCAAATTGCACAAAAGATTGTCTTAGTGTGTTGTAGCTGTTTTGTACGTCTCTGATGTTCTTTTTAGTTACAGGCCGTACTTACTTGTGGAGGGTCACATATGATATAACATCCAGTTTGAAGCCCAAATATCAGACCATTTTGGTCGTTGAATATATTGAAGTAAAATACCAAGTTAAAAGTTCATCAAATGAATAATTTATAATTATAAATCGGTTTTAGTAGTAGGGGATGGCACTTTTCACACATCGATTTGAGAAATAGATCTAAATAGTAATTTTTTATTTTTTTAAATTGAAAAAATTGGGACTATGAACTGCCATCATTTGTCGAGGTATATTTTAATCCTAGAATGTCTCAAGTTCAAGAGCCTTCTATCTTCTGACTCTTGACCAATTAAATGAAGTTGAATTTTTCGATATTTTGATATGATTTTCTTTTTCTATTTTATTCTACAATTAGACAATTTTAACATAGATAACGCATTAGGAGGTAGACATGGAAGAATACAGAACATCAAACTGAATCCACGAAAGTTTTTTCTGCCTCATCTGAAAAGACCATCATGCTTGTGGATAATGACTAGTCTTTTTCTTAACCACATAAAATAATTAATATTTTTATATGCCAACTCTGTTGGTGGGCCAATTAGCTGGGTGTTTAGTGCTTAATATTGTAACAAATGTTTGGTTAACGTAAGCCCGAATTTGTAAAGTCAGGCACCTCTGATCCACACAGTGTACTACTGTAACCCAATGTTTGGTTTACGTAATTTGTACGGCCGGACCGAAACAGAATATATATAGATACAGATATATACATATAGAGAGAGAGAGAGAGAGTTGTGGGGTTGCTTGGTGGGAGAGCTTAACTTGCAAGTGTGTGTTGTGGGGGAGAGCTGTTTGCATGGCAGAAGATGAAATGATGAAAAAAGAGATCAGACAGAGGAACAAAACCCAAAAGGATTCTCTTCACCGTAAGTAAAACCGACGCAAAGGGATTGGTGTTGCTTTGTGGTCACTTCCAAAACCAAAGCAGAAATATATATATATATATATATATATATATATGCATATATAGTGAGAGAGAGAGAGAGAAACAGAGAGATCGATTCATATCACTTCTTATCACATCCGTGTCTGGTCTGGTCCTATATCTCTTCCGTGTCACATAAACATACCATCACATTGGGCTACAGAAAACACGAGCCCCACTTTCTCAACTCATGTCTCGTTACACTTTTTTGCTTTTCGTCTTTCACATGTTCCATTTTATTTTCTTCTGATCTTGCTCCACTTAACACTCAAGTACACTACTAACTTGTCAAAACTGGTTCTCAATTTTAATCATGCAAAAACATTCACTGATTGATATATACCTACATTTGACATTTTTTAATCCACAATTAACCATACAGGGAATGCGTGCCAATTTCATTTCTTATTAATATATTTCATCATTATAACAGTGAAATATAAATAAATGAAATTTCACCGTTGCAAGAAATACTAGCTATAGTCACGAATAATTTCAAATCAGACGATGTTGTCAAGCGGATCTGGCTGTAAGCTGTCCGAGCAGAGTCTTGTGGTGGAATCCACACGGTTCCATGGTGGAACCTGATGGCACTGAAGCTGATTGGCTCAAAAACAATTTACTACTATTCAAATTTGATCATTTGTTGAAATGTATTTAAAAAAATTAGGTCTACAAATTGGGGATATGCCAAAAAACAACTAGTTTGATTGGCCTTTGTCTGTTGGGTTTGGGAATGTTATCCACGTACGTGTGATAAGAGCACGTGAGTTTATATGTTGTCCATGATAAACAGTAGTGGTTGAAACTTAATATTTAATAGACATAAATACCTACCCTGTTAAAATATCATTATCCAGTGACTAGTGTTTACATATGCCTCTGCACACAGCCCTGTGCAGCCCATCATAACCGACTATTAATCTTCTTTAGGTACATACTTAGATAAATTGATAATTGCAATAACAGCTTCAGACGAATATTAATATAAATCGATATAATCAATTTAATCATAAAAGTGTGTAATTGGATCTTAAAATTATTAAAAAAGATTTAAATTGATTTTCAATAATGGACCCTGGGTAAGATTTTATTTTGTTTGGTTTAATTGGGTTGTGTTGACTTGAACTCAATCATGTCCCATATGTCAATGGTCTAATGAATGTTTTTCAAAACTCAACTCTGGTGTATGGTTGATCTTTGTTCAATTGACTGATTCTAATCCAATCCAAGTTCAATAAATTGTTTCAGTGTCATGGAATGAATTCAATCTTCAAATTTAAAACCCCAATTTTATGAAAATTAATTTTACGTGCAGATTGTGTAGATTGTAACTATAGGTAGATTAGGTTCATTGAATACCAATATTTTATTTTGACAAAGTTGTCCCATGTATCTAAAGTCATTGGAAGCCTCTCAAGAGTTTAGACTTTATGCTAAAGTCATCTGCCAAAAAAAAGAATCTAGACATTATTTTGGAAAGTATTTAATTTTTTTAAAATCTTTTTTGGTTCTGTTTTTAAGATTTTATGTTTTTTTTCCTTATATAATGATATGAGATAATAGGAGTATGATACGTTTTTTTCAAATTATAATTTGGATCAGTAATATATCTGGATTCGTCCACTGCATTGGTGCAACTTGTTTCTTGTTGTTTGGTTGGTTACTGAGAGAAAGTGGAGAAGAAAACAAATCAAAGTTTTGCATTCTATACAATTCTGAGAGAAAATAAACAAAGCCAGAGAAACAAGTGCGAGGGTAACATTGTAAAATACACACCAATCCATTTAATGGAGAATGGAGATTTTTATATTGCTAGTTTACATTCTCAATTTAACAGTGTTATCAGAGAGGAGACATGTACTTGTTTTTCGCTTTTATAATGTAAAAACATTAAAAATAATAACACTCTTAGGAGCTCTTTTTATTTAATTAATAGATTGAAAAGTATATTAAATTATTTATTTGACTTTTTATATATTATAAAAAGAATTTTCATTCAATGATTAAATGTAAAGAGTTCATAATTTATTCTAATGAGAAAACTCTCTTAATCACATTATTATTTACAAAATATATTGTTTTTAAAAGATCAAATAGTGTGTTTGGATGTGAATATTTTATATATCTTTTACTACTTCTAGTTGAAAAGATTATCAAAAAAATGTACTAAAAAAAAATGAAAAAAAAAGAAGTTCCCTTCTCATGAAATAGAAAACCAAGTGAGTCTATTAGGCATGACTATTATTTTAAAAATGATAGGTCTTGTTTTAATTTGTAACTCTGGAAAAAGATTTATATTTTTAGTTACTATACAACAAGAAGAAAAGAAAAAAAAAATTGATTTAATTTTTTTAAAATTAATTTTTAAAAACTTAATTATAAAAATAAATTTTTTTTTTTTCGTAACTAATTTAGAGTTACCAACCAAACAAATTTTATAGATTAGTATATTTTTTTGAAGTCTCTGTCAACATCTCTTTCCCAAATCTTGGATACATCAGGCCTTTCAATTCACAGTCCAGTTCCTTCCTTCATGGTAGCAAACTCATTCAAATCACTCATAATAAGGTACCCCATGTAAAAGTAAATGACAGTGTTTTACCACTGTAAATCACCCAAAATAGGGGATAGACCCCTTTCTCTCTTTCCCAACTCAACAATCCAAAAAACCTTTTTGTCTTTTAGCCAAACCATTTGCTGTTTTCCTTGTACTTATATCCCATGGCCAGCCAAACTCCCACAAACCCAAAACCCCTTTTACCCTCCTTTCTGAGCTTTTTGCTTTGCTTTATTCTCCCCTTACTTTCTCTCTCTAAACTTCTCAATTTCCCACTGACAAATTACAAAAACCCATTCAGCTCCACTATAAATCAACCGATACCCATTTCACACAACCCCAACAATTCTCTTCTTCTCCCCTCAAAATCCTTCCTTGCCCACTTTTCTCTCTCTAGTTTCTATCTCTTTTAACACATTGAAGATGAAGGAGTTCTGGACTACCATGGCTTCAGTCATGGGCGTCTGGGCCTTCTGCCAAAGCCTCCTCCACACAGTCTTCCCTCCGGAGTTCCGCTTCGCATTCGTCAAGCTCTTCGGCCGCTTCTTCAGCTGGTTCTCCTCCTACTGCTACTTCGACATCACCGAGATCGACGGCGTCAACACCAACGAGCTCTACAACGCCGTCCAGCTCTACCTTAGCAGCTCCGCCTCCATCGCCGGCAGCCGCCTCAGCCTCACCCGCGGCCTCAACTCCAGCGCCGTCACCTTCGGCCTCTCCAACAACGACCGCCTCATCGACGTCTACAACGGCGTCTCCGTCCTCTGGGAACACATCGTCACGCAACGCCAATCCCAGACCTTCTCGTGGCGTCCATTGCCGGAAGAGAAGAGAGGGTTCACACTACGCATCAACAAGAAACACAAAACACTCATTCTCGAATCCTATCTCGATTACATCATGGACAGAGCCAACGAAATCAGAAGAAAAAATCAAGATAGATTTCTATACACAAATTCGCGAGGTGGGTCTCTGGATTCCAGAGGTCATCCATGGGAGTCTGTTCCGTTCAAGCATCCGAGCACGTTCGATACTCTGGCGATGGATCCTCTCAAGAAGTCGGAAATCATGGAGGATCTTCTCGACTTCGCAAATGGGCAATCGTTTTATCAGAAGACTGGGAGGGCTTGGAAGAGAGGCTATCTTCTGTACGGACCTCCGGGGACCGGAAAGTCCAGTATGATCGCGGCCATGGCGAATTACTTGGGATATGATATATATGATTTGGAATTGACAGAAGTGCACACCAATTCTGAACTGAGGAAGCTGTTGATGAAGACGAGCTCGAAGTCGATCATTGTGATTGAGGACATTGATTGCTCAATCAATTTGACTAACCGGAAGAAGAATAGCAACTCCCAGGGAAGATCATCGTATGATTCTGCGGCGTTGCCGGGCGGTGGAAGTGGCGGCGACGAGGAGGGTGGGAATACGATTACGCTATCTGGGTTGCTGAATTTCACAGATGGATTGTGGTCGTGTTGTGGGAGTGAGAGGATATTCGTGTTTACGACGAACCACATTGAGAAGCTTGATCCGGCATTGCTGAGAAGTGGTCGGATGGACATGCACATATATATGAGTTACTGTTCGTTCCCGGCATTGAAGATTCTGCTGAAGAATTACTTGGGCTATGATGTTGGTGATTTGGATGAGCAAATGTTGAACAAATTTGAGGAGGTGATTGATGAGGCGGAGATGACTCCGGCGGATATCAGTGAGGTTTTGATCAAGAACCGGCGAGATAGGGAGAAGGCAGTGAGGGAATTGTTGGAGGCATTGAAGGGGAAAGCGGAGAGGAATAGAGTGAATGGGGGTTCGAGGGAAAGGAAATTGACAGAGGTGGAAGAGGAAGAAGAGCAAGAGAAGAGGGCTTTGGAGAGTCCAAAAGAGGGGCGTGGTGATCAGATGGTGGAGGATGAAAGTTGCAAGAAAGGAGAAAAAGAGGAAGATGATGATGAGAAGAAGCTTAACTGACTGATCGATGGTACAGAAATGGGAAATGGGAAATGGGTTATTTTTCTTGCATGTTTTTGGGAGGGAGAGGGAGAGGGAGAGGAAGAGGGAGAGAGAGGACAGAATGAGAATTTGTGTAGTAGGGAGGAAATGGACACTGCGAATTGGGAAAAGGAAAACTGTAAGGCTCAACCATGCTCTTCATTTTTATCATGTTTAATTATTTAGGTGTCTTGTTTTAGCTCAAATAATGAAAATCAAACATGATATGACCCATACAGATGCTGATTTTACCCACTCCCCCACGGATAAAGAGAAATTATTGGGTTGGTACCATGTCACCACTCCGGACCCGACGTGTGTCGCCACATTAAATCAAACATATACCCATTAACCACGTCCCTCGTGAAATAGTATCTACACTTCCCATTGGGTAAGAAGAGATTATATCGTCTGGATTGATTAGAGGTTTCTAATTCCATTTTTTTTTTTTATTTGCTAGCGTAAGAGTTCAAAAAGTTAAAAAAATAAAAAATAATAAAGAAATAAAAGTGGTTTTCATAAGTTTTGGAGGATGATGATATTAGTCACATCCAAATGGGTAGGGCATTCATTTTGTCAAAGAAAACAAAAACCGAAGTTCATGTGGATGTGTCGGGCTATATGCATTTGTAATGTGATGTTAGAGTATATTTGGTTTCATGTGATGATGATCATATCATATCTCCTTCACATGTTACCTCTTACCTGATCACAAGTTCCTATTACGGAATATACAAGTTTGTAACACACATTGTTAGCTGGCTCGGCGATGGATTACACAAACCGCACATGGGCACCTATATTTCTTGATGGAATATGTTGGGAATTTACTACATATAAGTTGGGCTAACATTTTGCAATTATTAAAGTAGGGACAATTTCGAAAGCACATCATCTTCAATTTTTTTGTAGCATATATATATATATATATATATATGGTTGTGGCTATTGGCAACAATTCCAAATTAATATTAACAAAAGACAGAGACATGGGTATTAGGAACATTAGCATTCAACTCATTCTATGGCCGGGTTAAATTGTTCAAGGGTTGTTATTAGTCGCTGCCAATTACCATTAGACACGTAAATTAAAAAAATTTAAATAAAACTTACATATTTTCTTTACAATTACTTATCTATCACATAATAACTTGTTCAGCTTTATTTAACATTTTTTTACTTATGTGCAATGTTTCTCATAATCATATAATACTAATAAGAGAGAGTTTTTTATTATAAAATAAAAAAAAAAAAAAAAAAAAAAAAAATGGGTGGTTGAGGGTTTCCACAATGGGTATAAAGATGAGTCACATTGGTGTAATAAGAAACAATAGGGTTGAAGGAAAGAGCTATATGTGTCATTCTTATGGTATTGTAATCTCTTGTCATACATAACTTTGTTTTTTCTTACAAACTGAATTGTTTTTAAATGAGTATGTCTTTATCAAGCTTGTTTGAATTAGCACTAAAGCCAATTTAGTCCCACAAAATAGTAATTAATTATTTTTTTTTTGTGAAAAGTTTTCTTAATCGTTTAGGTGTAATGAGAGTAGCTAGGAAAACAAAAACCAAGTTAGATGGGTTGGTCCACTAATGCTTTCCGCAAAGAAGTTGTGGATAAGATTTAGAGGGGCAATTTGGAGAAAGATAGAAAACATGTGAACAAATCCCAAGATTTTATGTTGGGGAAAGGAAGATTGAGAAGGAAAAGTCCCCTCCTATGATGAGAAAAGTTGACACCTTTTGTTTATGATTTTGTTCCTGAGTTGGAAAGGCAAACTCGCGTTTTTTTTTCATCTCAAGCCTGGAGTGGATTTTGACCTACGTGGTCTACACAACCTTTCACATAAATATATCATTTTTATTTTGTCCATGTAAAACATGTCTTTCAAACCTTTTTCATCTGGTGTGAAGTGAAAAATGGTATTTCACTTTCATTTATGCTGCCCAATTTCGTAATTTGGTAGTTGGTGCCGCTAAACACAAGCTATCAATTTCAAAGTTTTGACGCAGGTAGGGCGGTTTGACATTGCTTTGTACAGGTATCTGCTTTGAAATGTTTTCTTATATTATTTGGAAGTCTTTTCGGTAAAATATAGTAGAAATTTTAAAAGTAAAAATATAAAAACATATTTGATGAAAAAGTTCTGTAAGTTTGTAAATTTAAATGATTAGTTAAAGTTTTTATTTTTTTTTTGTGAATAGTTTTTTTATATATATTGCAGGAGTGAAAAGAAATATCAATTTAGTGTTTCTAGTTTTGACATCTTTTTTTTAAATGTATTTCAATATTATTCAACTGGGAACAAAAATTTCAAACATTCGTGTTTTTGTTTTGTTATAGTAAGCTAACACAAACCAAAAAAAATATCACCCACGCAGATACGGTGGAGATATCATTTTGTCATTTTATTTCAAGTTAAATCATATGCCTATATATATATATATATATATATATATATATATATATATATATAGGGTAAGTAACATCATGTCACTTTCTTGTAGGTGGTATTATTGACTTCCGTGCTAGTAGAATTTTCTCTATGGCATGCCATGTTTGTTTCACAAAATTGGCATGTTAAGAATCGTGCACAACAAATGCAAAGACTTTTGACATTATTTGGATGGAGTAGTTGTTTTCAATTTTGAATTCTCATATTTACAACAAGAAGAAAACAAAATGTCGCTGCTTTAAACCATCCAACATGAACAACAACAACAATAATAATAATAATATAGTAATTACAGTACTTTCTAAAGATGATAATCTTGAGACGTGTTAAAATAAAGAACAAATGGTGGCTAATGGACCGACCCTAATTGTCAACAACAATGTTTTTCTTTTGTGAATATGAAAAAAAGTTCTGAAAATTAAAATTTAGTAAAGCTAAACAGATGGTGCTCATTCAATTCTATGCAAAATATTGTCCAATTTAAAAAGTTCTAAGATTCTCATCTTTTAATCCATTCTATGCTTTCTTCTTTCAGCCGTTGAATGAGTCTACATTAATCCACGGCCCTTTTCATTTCAAGATACAAAAGATCACGAAACACTTGATTAATTATAAGAGTAGTTATTCAGAGGCCAAATTTACAGTTACATAATATGATGTGATGGAATTCATTACTATGCTCACATAAATTAACCTCAGTAATTATCAAATTCAATTCTTAAATTGTTATTTTAATAAAAATATTATATATATTAAATTAGAAGTTAGGGTTACGAAGATTCAAAATCGGACTCTCGATGATAATGAAAAGCAACCTAACTATTGCTTTACGAAGGCGTTCGCATATTAGCTTGACTTATGAAGGAGAAAACAAATATGTCTATGTGCAATATATATATATATATATATATATATATATATATATATGAAGTAATGATCTTTTCTTGTTCACTTAGTGTAATAAGGGTCATTTGTCCCGCATCGAATCTGAATAGGAAAGTGATAGAGTATAAATAAATGAGTATACAATACTATCCAATAGTTTAAACTTTTGAGTAAATGGACAAGCGTCAACCATTACAGTTGATATCAGAGTCAAACTCAAACCTTAATCCGATGTCATACCAAGAGTCCGACCCCCGGAAGGCGTTCGGGTAGACAGGGTGACCCGACCGCATTGCAAGTTTTGGTGGGAGAAAATATAATGAGAGTCTAGCATAAGCTTACTTTTGGGTAAATGGACAAGCGCCCTACTAATAAACAATTTTTTTTTATAAGTATAAAAAAGGTAATTATCAAAAAATAATAATAATAACAATGCATATTCAAATTATCATACTTTGTATATATAAATTTCTTATTTACAAAGGAGATATATTTCTGTTCGCATATGCAAAGATAACAATTAGGAAAAGCATAAATAGTAAGGCTAGTCATTGTTGGTGCAATAACAAACTTTTCTTCTACTAGTTCTCAAGTACTTTTTCATATTTATGAAGAAAGATATCACAAACTTCTAAATACCACTTATTTTTTAAATAAAATAAAAAATAAAAAATTTTATTAAGATTTCTAGCATATTTTGGATCTACCATATGAGTTTTAAGTTCATGGTAATTCAAAATCTCCACTTGCCCATTAGTTAGGCTTGATTGTCAAAGATTGAATCATTTGGCCACCAAAAGAAAAGGATTGAACTAGACAGCATCTTGGCGCATATCTAACCTTTGCTTGGTTCCATCAGGTTGAAAGATTCTGCATTGCCCTAACAATGGCAATAATGTGCATGTCTCTCTCTCTCTCTCTCTCTATATATATATATATATGTATTTGTGTGTGTAGAATGTGTGAAATTACGTGAATGGAACATGTCTTGAACAGCATTTTGTATATCCTTGATGCAACTAGGCCTGGGATTCACTCACAGCCCAAATTAAACTACAAAAACCCATTTGAGTAAGGGGACTAGAACTAAAGGCCATCCTAACCCAATGTTTAGGAATCTACATGAGAGAGTGAATACCACAGCTAAATAGATGTAGCTCAATATATTTACAGTTTGTACTTAAATTAGGAAATTGATGAATTTGGTGCATATATTTGTTCCTACATTTTCTGGGTTAGCATGGGGTTCTTGGACGTGCCAAAGTTCTTGCCCGAACTTGGGGGTGTGGATAGAAACATATCCCTTGGAGTGGCCAGACAGAGGAAGGTCTCGACGTGACGATTGTCAAGCGATTGTGAGGAGGCAAGAGAGGGTTTAATGGTTACATAGTAACATGTACTATTTAAACACAGACACATGTCTACAAAAATAGATACATTTTTATTTGTATGTCATTGTTTATTTAATTAGTGCGTGATACAATGTGATTGCTATGTCGAAAGCTTTTAAGTTTTTATCATAGGAAAGGTGTGAGCCGCAGGAGATTCTCGTGGGTCACACTTGCTACAACCAAGAATCGAAAAGAACTAAAAAAAAAAAATCATGCAATTACCAACACTTCGAGATGACACACAGTCACACAGAAGAATGCTTACAGGCAAAGAGTTGCTAGCCCAGCCCATCCCAGCATGTTCAGCCCAGCCAAATTTGTTAATTTTCGGTTTGGGTAATGGTCGGTCCATTAAAGGCCTGATGGGAATAATTTTATTTTTTTTATTTTTTATTTTTTCTAACAAGAAATTCAGTCATTCACTCATTTTGTGGTTACTAGAACTTGAACTCTCATCATTTACTTTGGAGATTGAGGAGAAATCACTAAGGTACAATGATGGGAATAATTATATGCATGAGATATTGCTGCATTGGTCATGGATCTAATTATTTCTCAGAAAACTCTTCAATTTTGAAATATTTAACAAAGTTAAAATGAAGGTGTACTAAAAGTAGATAGTCAAATGTTCACACATCCCTATAGATAAAGACAAAGTGGGTGCGTATGTGAAATTATTCTTGCCCAAATAAATAAATAAAAATTTAAAAAATTGATGGGTGCACCGAATGGAGAGATTCTAATTAGTATTAATCAATTGCTATGGGAATTGTAGGTGGTCTTTGGATTTCATTTATTAGATTTCCAATTAATGTAAATTTATATAATATTACTAATGACAAGTTATAAGAACTTTATCTTTTGAGGTTGGAATTGGATCATAATATTATATTTAACTATTTAAATTATATTATAATTGTTATTAATTATTAAAAATGATAAGAGTGATGTTACAAACTCGACACAATATAATTAAACAACACGATTTCTGATAGTCAATAAATTTAAACTCATTTAAATATCATAACATGTCAATTCAACTTTTTCACTATAAATAATGTAACTTATTTATATTTGCACTATTCATGAAATGCATAGCATTTTAAAACTTGAAAGTAGAAAATGGTGAGAGAAGGAACACATATGCTATAACTGTTCTTTTTTAAAGAAATAAATAATATAAAAAGAGAGGTATTTTAGAATACCTCTTATAGAGAAGAAAAGGTTTGGTTTGTTGATACCATGGTTCGAACCCATACAACAAACAAAGATTCATAAGGACTCTGCCAACTGCGGTACTCGGAACCATGGTGACAAGTTGTGCTTTGAATTTTAATTTATTGAATAAAGAAAGACAAGTACTAAAAAGCTTCATATGAGCACTGTGGGGACTGTTATTCTGGCTAACTTTAATTATAGAGAATTTAGGCTATGTTTCTAATGGAATTAATAACGCACGTGATGGGGTTGAACTACTATTTTTCAAAGATCCTACAATTTCATTCCCTCCAATGATGGTAAATACAACTTGAGATAATAAGTTTGTATAGCATAGGCTGCATAGCTCAAGTTGGAGGATGTCCAAATGAGAAAATGACACCAATTAGACCCCAACTGATTAGCTCCAATGGTGAAGTTATAGGACTTAAATACCTTATCAAGGATTAAGTTTCATATTCGAATCTTTTCAAGTGCGATCAATTCTTAGGGGCCACGATCACGGAAATAGTTCGAATTTTACCCGATTTGTGTGGAAGGGTCGCCTTGCACGGGTTTCGTGGATTAGTCCAGACAAAATCCCGGAAATCCCAGTTATTGAAAAAAAAAATGAGACCAATTAAAATTGGAAGTGTATATATATATATATTTTTTTACTCTACACCTACTCACCTATATGTCCCGCGGGGACTGAACTCTTAGATCTTCTACTTTGAAAGGCGAGAAAAAACAACTGGGCTACGACCCTAAGGCGCAGAAGACAAACACTAAGTTGAGACAAGAAAATCAGAGCAGGATTAACCTTGACTTATAATTTACCGTGCACAACAAACCACAAAATGAAGCAATTTTTAGAAGTACTTGAATTCTAAATTATTAGAGACCCTTGATACTTAGTAGTTTAGTCCAATCAAAACCAATGATAAGATTTCTTTATAATATATTATATATCTTTCAAGTTTTTACACCAAAGAATTTAGATTGAATTGGACCACCAAGTGTCTAGTGGCCCAAAATTATCTAATAATTTCTTGAATTAAAAAATATTTACATGATTCTAATCAATCACAATGATAAGTTAAAATGAAAATGTACTTAAGTAGATGGTCGAATGCTAAGTCCCTATAGGTAGGGACAAAGTTGAAGTCTGATATTATTCTGGCCAAGCTACAAAATAAATAAATTTTAAGGTGTAGGAAACGGAGAGAAATTTTAAGGTGCAGGGAATGGAGAGATTTTAATTAGTATGAATCAATTGCTAATGGGAATGGTTGGTGGTCTTTGGATTTCATTTATTAGATTCCAATTAATGTAAGTTTTATATTATATTGCTAATGACAAGTTATAAGAACCTTATCTTGTGATGTTTTTCTTTTAATATAAAAAGAGAGGTATTTTAGAATACCTCTTATAGAGAGAAGAGAGAGGTTTGGTTTGGTTGGGTTTGCTGATACCAAAGTTCGAACCCGCACAACCGACAAAGATCGACAAAGACCCTGCCAACTGCGGCACTCGTAACCATGGTATCAAATTGCACTTTGAATTGTAATTTATTGAATACGAAAGACAAGTACCAAAAAAAAGCTTCATATGAGCACTGGACACAAATATTCTGAATTCTAAATTACACAAGTTATGCATCTTGCGAGGTCTTCAATTACCATTTATGGTTGTTTTTCTTCTTTTCTTTTAAAAAATTCGGGTTGGAATGCTGACAATTACCTTGACCTTTTGTGGATTTTGATTATGAGATACCCCTCTTCTGCCCCATTTGCCTCGAAGTTGTATAAAACATCACCAGTGTTCAGCATTTTCCAAATGATAATACATATTTGTTAATGGTGAAAGAGATAGTGTGATAGAAAAGAACCTTCTTTGATCTCTCTTACACCATAACAAGTTGTCTCAAAATTATTGACATCACTCCATTAAATAATATCTTTCAAAGGTGGTGGTCTAATGGTAAAAGTTAAAATCAAATAGATGCTTTAAATTCTTGTCGATGAAAAATATAAGAAAAATTAATAATAATTTGTAAAGAGTTTGAAATTTTCACGAAAGAGATTCTAAAATTATAATGTATATTACCGAAAAAGAGAGGTATTTAAAAATACCTCTTTTAGATAGAGGAAGAAGAGTATTGGGGGTTTTACGATACCGCAACTCGAACCCCGTAACAGGCCATTCCCGCAAGGGCCTGACTAGTGTGGCACTCGAAGCTTTGGTGTCGTCTTTAATTTTTAATTTTTATTTATTAGAGATATGGAAAGACAAATACAAGAACCTGACATGTCATCAATCCGAAACACTTCATTTCCACCAATAGTTTCGCACCTCCAAATCCAACGGTTAAAACGAGATGTGAAAACCAAATACGGATCGCCAACAATCCGACGGCCACCGCGCAAAACTGTGCTGTGTGTGTGTAAATAATATATATATACGTATGTATATCATTCAATCACCTCATTCAAAGCGTTGAAAGGTTAGAGATAGAGAGAGGTGTTGAAGAAGAAGCAGAAGATAAGATGTCGGGAAGAGGAAAGGGAGGGAAAGGGCTGGGCAAAGGAGGAGCGAAGAGACATCGGAAGGTGTTGAGAGACAACATCCAGGGGATCACGAAGCCTGCAATCAGACGGCTGGCGAGGCGTGGTGGAGTCAAGCGTATCAGCGGTCTGATCTACGAGGAGACCAGAGGCGTACTCAAGATCTTCCTCGAGAACGTCATTCGTGATGCTGTCACCTACACAGAGCACGCCCGTCGCAAGACTGTCACCGCCATGGACGTCGTTTATGCTCTCAAGAGGCAGGGCCGTACCCTCTACGGTTTCGGTGGTTAGTTAGGGCTAGGGTTTGATGTTTAGCTCGAATCGAAATTTTTCCTTTTCAATGATGTAATTAATTTCATGAATGGAAAGAAATGAAGAGGACTATTGAGATTTATGCAAATTCAATTTTCTTCTTTCAAGTTTTAGTGGGTGTTTGGATTGTTCTCTATTTTTTTGCAAACCCTAATATAGACTCAAAAAATGGGTAACAATTTGGCTTTCACTTAGTGACTCCTTTTTTTTTTTTTTTTTTTCAAATTTGCAGGAAGCAAGAATATTTTTCATATTCGAATTTTGGAAAGGACTCAAAAGCTTTATTTTTTAATTTCAATTACTATTACTTCAAACATTCTAAAGCAACTTACAAAAATAAAAAATACTGTAAAACATAAGAAGTCATTCGACTTTAATCTTATTTTATATAAATAACGCCTTAAAAATATAAAATTATAATTTTTTCTTTTATTTCGAATAAATTTTTTTTGTCCAAATCTCATCCAAAATAAATTTGAATTATAATAATTTTAATCAATTTCAATTTTATTATTTTAACTATCTTGGCCACTCCACGCTAACTTGAGTTGGGTTGACTCCGGTACCATCCTTAGTAAAAATGAGTATGGCATGTTTGGCGACATATATATATAGAAAATTTGGATTCAAATTCAATATTTCTAAACACACCGAGAATCGAAGTTTCCAAATATTTAATCTTGGGTTCTTTACTGTGTACTCAACTCGGAATTGTAAAAAATTTCAAAAGCTAAGGTTGAGGTGATGAACTCGGTCTTAACTTATATCATTTTAAAAACTTTGGTCTGACTTGTTTAATAACGAAATTCATTCAAACAAGTATTAAACAACACTTTAATTCCTTCACCATGAAATTTGGTCTCAGACTTATTTAATAATAAATTCATTCGAGCTGGTATCGAGTTCAAACATGATTTGTTCATTTAATGAAGGAGGTCGAATAGAGTTGAACTAATCCTAGTCAATTAGACTAAGAAGGAGTTGAGATCCTATAATGTGTGTTCAAATTTTCAGTCATTCAATACTCTACGCAATAATCAATATCCGTATCGATACTCTGTCTCTGGCACAGTAGAGGCTTTGGTGGGTTAATCCTAGAGTCCACAAACTGAATTTAAAGTGAACCCAGTTTGGGCATTTGCTTCTCGAACTGGGCCTTGAGGAGATAGAGCCTGGCCCAGCCCGTCCCAATAGCTACCTTATTATTCATCATAGTCTGCAATTTACCAATCTCCTTCACCTTCTCTCTCTCCCTCAAGATTTCGTCTGGGCAACAACGAAATTCAAGCAAGAATTGAGCTTCCTCCACGAAGATCGCATATGCAGAAGTAAGTAATCCCTCTTTCTCTCTACATATCTTCATCGATGTTTAACAATTAAGTAGTCACTCTCATGTTCCTATAAATTCCTTCATAATTCAAATTCTCACAATCTGCATCATCACTTCAAAACAAACCCTAGGACAAAGAATTAGACCTCCTTGACACTCTTACATATCACAATTCACAATTAAACTCAAGATCAAAGAAACCCAGAAGTAAAGATCTGAAGACACCAAACTTCAGATCCAGAAATTCGCAACTATGTCTTGTTTAGCTCTATCTCTTCAACCCGCCAATGGATCCGACATTCTGCTCCAGACCCGTGAATGGTTCCCTCCTGCTCGAGCCCTCGTGGCGCTCTCAGCTTTTCGACAAACCCGTCTCGCTTTTGCCTCCGGCAAACATCAATCCGCCGAGGACGGCGATACGTCGCTCGGTGACGATCCACTTGCTGCGTCGAGCGGGCAAGTCATTGTCGGCGTTGAGAGCCGATACCGTGTTGTGTACCGTTTGGTAAATTCGATTTATGTTCTGGGGATCACCACAGTGGACCAAGATGATGGTGTCAACAATGTGTTTGAATGTATTAGTATTGTTAATCAGGCCGTCAGTGTAGTTGTCACTGCGTGCCGGGGTGTTGACGTCACACCGGAGAAGTTAGGTAGGAAGTATGCTGAGATATACATGGCGTTGGATATAGTTTTAAGGGGCATTAGCAATATTAGGCTTGCGGCAATGCTTGCTTCGATGCATGGTGATGGAATTGCCAAGATGGTGCATTCAGCAATTGCTACGGAGAATAAGATTAGGGGAGCTGATAGTTGGAAAAATGTAGAAATTAATTCACTTGAGCACCAGGCTGGTGTGGTGGCATTTTCGAATGCCACTTTTGAGATGCCTGCGGAGGCATTGCAGGCAGGTGATGAGGTTGCTGTAACGCTTGTCCCCACGGGGCAGGGCTCGTTGAGTGAACAACAGGATCAGCAAAAGCCAGGAGAGGAAGAGGTGGAGAAGGATCCATTTGCAGCAAGTGACGCCATTAACAAGCCTGAGGAGCTTGTGGGCGGATTTAAGAAAGATAAGGGTTCTTCTAATGATTTGACAAAGGCATTAGCAGGTCTTGAGGTTACTACTCTACCACCTGCGGCAGCTACAGAATCAACACACATTGGGGTTGAGGGGTTCGAAGGGGACTATGGTGGTATAGAGTTTAGTAATGATGGGTCTACTTTGCCTGAAGATTTTGAAGGGCTCAATCAAGCTTGGGGTGGGGGGTTGGATGCATCAGAGTTTGTGGGTTCAAAGAAAGTTCCGAAATCCCAAGGGCTTGGTGGGCTTGAATTGTTACAGACAAGTGAGCCTCCGCCAACTGCTGCTAAGGGAGCTGGCACTCCTCTTGAAAACCTTTTGGTGCAGAAAACTGAAATGAAGGGCCCTGAGATGTTCATTTTAGAAGAGATTAGGGCAGAATTCAGGGAATCTTTGCTTGCTAGAGCTGGCTTACAGGGCATGGTCTACTTAAAAACATTACCCCCGAAATCTTCTGGTGATAAAGAAACTGAGTTTTCCTTCAGAATTGAAGGTACAAATGGCATTAAGAGAGTGGTTATGCAAAGCTCTCGTGTTAGCAGCCTTGGAAATGGGATGTTTCATGTGAGGACTTCATCCTCGGAAGAGCCTATACCAATTTTAAAGTACAGTTTGTTACCCCGTGTAACTCCACTGCCTCTGAGGGTTCGCCTGATTAAACGTCACAGTGGGACTTTACTTTCTGTGATGATACAATATGTTTCAAACCCAGATTTGCCTGCACCCTTGAACGATGTGACATTTGTTCTGAAACTGCCTGTTGACCCATCTTTGTTGAAGGTTTCGCCCAAAGCCATCTTGAACAGGTCTGAGAAAGAATTAAAATGGCATGTTCAAGAGATTCCTCTCATGGGAAATCCGGGTCGGTTGAGGGCAAGGATGCCTGTGGATAGAAATGAAGAAGACGGGGAAGAAATTGATGTTGTCTGCTATGTGAAATTTTCTGCCCAAGGGACTAAATCATTATCTGGGGTTTCATTATTGCCTGCTTCTGAGGGTAAGACAGACTTTTATGAGGTTAACCACAGGTATGAAAGTGGGGTTTATATGTGCAATTGACCATGATAAATATGATCCACTGGTTACAGCTTGTGTTTGTTTTTTGTTCTCTTTCTTTTCAATGGATGATGTGTTTGGAAATGCTTATAGCATTCTTGTACTGCGGCTTTCAACTTGGATTCATTGTTCTGTTAACTTTTAGTGAAAATGCAATTCTGCTCGGGTCATTATCTTTTAAACTTTACATTCTGTGCTTCATAGCTTGGAGAAAAGGGAAAAAAAATAAGTATATTTTGTGCTTCATGTGATAAATTGAGAGTACAATAGTTGAAGGGCCATTGTATCAAACCTGTAAAAGTTGCAAATGTGATCAATGCTACTCAAAATAATTCCATAAATGAATATGAATGGGCCGCTAACTGTTAAGATCTTACTCTGTTTTTTTTTTGGTTTTTTGGTTCTTTTCTCAAGGCTTCTTCCCTTAACAAAATTTAATATAATTTTGGAAATCTGAAAAATTATTCGTCAATAATCAAATGGCAAGTTCTTTTTATATTGTGAATTGGGAAGGTATTGTTGTATATCATTTCATTCTCTGTTGAGGCATTTAAGTAATGTGTTCAGTTTGTTTGGTTGCAAATTTTCTACTTTTTTGGTTAGTTTAACTTCTTTTGGTAGTTCATTATCAAAGGTAAAAAAAGAAGGGAGGGGAGGGGGTTTGTTGCGGGGGTAGAGAGGGCTGAACGCAGATATTTTCAATCACCAAATTTGGCACCTCAATTCCATCATTATTTGATGCTCAGATTTATTGCTGGACGCTACACGTACTGGTGCAGGGCTAGATCCAGATTTAAGATGCAAAGAATTCCGTATGACTTGTCTCAACTCTCAAGTGTCAAATCAAATTTTGATACTTGTTGTTGATGCCAATAAATGTTGCCAAGCACATAAATGAGACATAGATGACAGAAAATTTGTAGTGTTACCCCAATATATTTCTCTGTGTCAAAAATTATGATTCTGTTACTATTCTTTTGATTGATAATTCTATGACTATAATTTAATTATTAGATTAGGATCTCTATCTATTTAATAATTACTTTAATTTATAACGTAAATTAGTTGGATAAATCGTGGACGGTTTCTGATGGTTTCCTGGAGGATTACATTTTGCATTTTCTTTATATTACTACTTGCCCATTTATGTAACAGTGGATATTTGATATCCAATTTAGTGTAGTAGCACTGATCTTAACCAACATGACAGAATAGAACTTTTAATGATTGTGTCAATTTTTTTTCTTTCTATTATTATTATTTTTCAAGTTACCATCATATATGTAGTGAAACTTCCTGCCATTGTTGCCCTATGTGTTTAAAGTTATCACCTTGTTTTAATTTCGATGAATATTCCATCACTTGTTTTTGCATATTGTGGCATTTTCGTCTGAGTATTACCATACATTTCTGCATAAAATTTTATAGGTACTGAGTGTAATTCGCACTCCTAAACCTCAACATTGCGGCTCCCAGTTGGAACTTTTGAGTAGATGTCAAGGTCAAATTTGCATCAAGTTTTCACAGTTGCTCTTATGTTATCCAATAGAGTGTGGTAGACATGTCGTAGTTATAAGAGCGATAACTGGTGGTAGTGCGTGTGCATGCCAATTTTTTTTTTTTGGTTGACGTAGTATAGTTATACTCCCACTTCATCTTTAAAGCTCCAGAATAATGCTGGTCATGATGCTATGCTATTTATGAAATTGCTTGACTAGTCTCAGATTTTTCCCTCAATTATTGTGTTTTCTTGCTGCTATGCTATTTATGAAATTGCTTTTTGTTTCTCTATAGGCTAGAATGATGTTTTACCTTTAAAGAGGTGCGGCTGATTTTCTTTTGAAGGATAATGCTGGTCATGATGCTCTGCTATATATGAAATTGCTTGACTAGTCTCGGATTTTATCTCTCAATTATTGTGTTTTCTTGCTGCTTTCTGTTTCTCTATAGGCTACAATGATGTTTTACAGTTAAAGAGATGCAGCTGATTTTCTTTTGAAGTGCCACTGATAAACCTTTTTCCTGTTGAATTAGAATCAAGTAATCTTCAACTTTGCCCTGCTTTGTGTTGGTAAAATCTTGAAGTAGTCTTCTGGAGGTTCCATTGTTTAACTAAAATTTTGGGGATTTATATGGTACCTGGAAATCCTTTTTCTATTGCAGGCTGGAATTTCATTTTAATGATTAGTGATCAAATGTGTTTTTTTCTCTTCTAGCATGATTTTAGATTATGATAGATTTATTAGATTGCAATAAATCTGCCTTGCCTTGCTAATAGTCTTATCTTTACATGGTTTGATTCAAAGCCTATAGAAAGGAGGATATAATGGGTAGATAGCCAGCTTGACATTTTCCTAAAGCTTTTTATGAATGCTAGTAGGAGGGCGAGGGAGGAGAAACAGAGATTGTACACCAGAGACATGGGTTTGGCGTAAAACTCTCTCTCTCTGTCTCTCGCTCGCGCGCGCGCGCCCACACACACACTCGAGTTGCACGCTCGAAGTAGCTTTGGTGCAGTAAGCCAGTAAGATTCTGCTTCACATCCTATAAAACTATGTACATGCATGTGTGTGTGTGTGTCTTATTGTGAACACGGAGATAAAAAAATTCATTCAAAATTAGTGTGTGGACTGTGGATATGAGGCCGTTGCAGTTTTATGAGCAGAAGCTACCAGGATCTCAAAAAATATGCAAAACTACCCTAACCAACTATTTTGGTGGGGTAAAAAATTGATGTTGGGATAATCATGTTTTTACCTGATCAAATGTTTGAAAAAGATGGTTTCGTGGGACTATCTCGTGTTTATTTACCCAATAAGTATGCACATACATAGATTGAATGGAATATAAGAGTACGTTGTTTTTCCATGTCATCCACTGGCATTTTCTTGCAAAATCAATGGTGGTAACCACCAAAGACGAGGAGACCCAGATCGCAAGCCTTATCAAGGTTGTAGATGGTACCATTAAATAATGATCCTTTGAACTCCAACGGCCAAAAGCTACCATGGGTTTCCCTCTCGCTCTCAAGTCTTGCCACCGCCTTCAACTCGGCACAGCCATTCATGAACACGCAACCAAAGATTCTCTGCTCTCAAATCCATTTGTCGTCTGTGCTCTTGTTGACATGTTTGGTAAATGCAGCTTGCTTTCACTGGCACACAAACAGTTCGATGAAATGCCTGAGAGAAATGATGTTGTGTGGAGTTCCTTGTCTTCGCTTTACACCCATTCTAATGATTTGTCCAAGGCTTTGCAGTTGTTTGAATGTATCAATGTTAGGACACCAAACACATCTAACATTTTATTCAATTATTGGCTGTTTATCGGAAATGGAAGATGGGTCTTTTAAGGCTAAAAGCACAAGCAATGGTGGAAAGCATCATACACCTATTTCCAAGATTTGGGATTCAAGCTGAATACATTTCTTGCTTTGCTATCCTCAAGCGTAGGCATAGCGGCTTTAAATTTGATTAAAAAAATCATTGTTACTCCATTAGAAGCCCAGAGAATGAGAAGAAAAATGAAGGAGAAGGCAGTGGAGGCAACACCTGGTAGGAGTTGGGGTTATATGTCAAGATTGAGGTTACTAATGGAGCGTTGCGTGATGCCCGGGCATGTGACAATTAACTTGAAGATACACTTGATTAGCTTGGTCTGTTTGGATTTTTTGTGTAGGGTTTGTGGTCTAGCTCAATTTCTCTGTTTTATGTGTTGCACTCTAAACAACCCTAAGTTGTTCGGTTGATGTGACAAAAGAGAGTGTAGACTGTTCATATGAGTAAAACAACCCTAACTGTTCATTGAGTTTAGATTAGTCATTTCATTCTTTTTGTTAACACACAACCTCTAACAAATGGTCTGACTGAAGATACAAGATACGTGAGCTAGCGTGGTGTTATAGTGTTATAGACAAACTTCAAAGGTTTAAATAAATTTTACCCAAAAAAAAAAAAAAAAATACTAGCACATTTTACCCAAAAAAACAAAAAAATACTAGCACACTAGGGTCACGCATGTCATGTCATTATACAGAACCTTCAAAAAGATAGGATTTAGTGTCCATAGCCTCTCCACTAATGATATGGACACTGAATGAACGCATCACAATTGTTGGATCATCCCTCAATTCTAAAGGACAAAATAGTAATTTAATCCAAAAACCGACTTCATATAGGGATGGGACTTGGGTGGGTCTAGCCGAAACAACCCAAGTCACGTCCGAAAATTTTACAAGCTTGAACAAGGTATTTGAGACCGTGAGACTATGGCTAAATTTAAATTTTTGAGTCCAAATTTATTTTGGGTGGAATTTGGGCAAAGCTTTACTAACCCAAGCAACCCAAAATGGAAGAAAAAATTGTAATTTTTGTACGTATTTTTTATATTATTTTTAAATATTATACGTTGTTTACCTAAAACAAACTTAAAATCAGATGTTTTCTAGTATTTTTTGTTTTTGTTTTTTTTTTTTTGACCTAGGTATTATTCTAACTTGAACAAACTAGCTTCTTTTAAAAAAATTAAATAAAAAATTATAGGTGTTTTTTTTATTTACTAGCAAAAGAGCACGTGCAAATGCACGTGGTGTAAATCCAAGAGATTAATAAGATTATAATAAATTATAAAAAAAAAGTAAATCCAAGAGATTAATAAGATTATAATAAATTATAAAAAAAAAAAAATTTATTTGATCAGTAATTAAGAAAACTTTGATAAATTGTAATTTATTTGATTTGATACTTTTCAATGTGAAGCAAGGAATATGAAAATATATTTTCATATGTCATCTATTTCACAAAGAGCTTCTATTTTTAATTTGCGTTTTTGTTACTTGGATTAAATATTTTTTTAGTTTTATCACACTTCTATCTATAATCATTCTATATAGATAACTCTCAATATCTTAGTAGAGCAATTCTCATATATTTTCACTTTCAAATATTTTAAGTGATCATCATGCCAAACAAAAGATATTTTATTTCGCTTCTTAAACTTTAAACTCAAAACCATGTATATTAAGATATATTCTAAAATATAGATTCTATTCAATCATATATATAATTATCATTTGTAACTCACATGGATCAAACACAAAAGGAATAATCTTCTAGCATTTTGCATTGTAAGAAGGAAGACACTTCCTCTTTCTATAGCATTATAAAAATTTTATTAAGACTTTTCTTT